GCGAGAGCCTCGAGGCATTCATTACGTTTGCCAACACCTTTCATCAGTCAATCAAATTTACAGTAGACGTATCTAATTCGAAAAACGTATTCCTAGATACTACATCTACCCTGATTGACGGTGAAATCGAATTCAGTCTCCACACCAAACCCACAGACTCCCACCTATATCTTATGCCCACTAGCTGTCATCCCCCAGTCACTTTTAAGGGAGTGCCTAAGGGTCTAGCCACCAGAATTCGACGCATCTGTTCCTCCCCTGCCTTATATCAGGAGCAAAGTGGTCTTCTTAAGTCCCACTTATGCAAAAGAGGCTGCAATGCCCGCACCGTACAAACAGCTATTGATGAGATGGCGGGACATGACAGGCAAAACCTATTACGCTACAAGGAGAAAGACAATAGCGGCAGGGTCCCTCTGGTAACCACATACCATCCCGTCCTTAAGAACCTTAGCGGTATCCTTAAAAAAAAACCTTCCAATTCTCCATTCAAACAAACGAATGGCAGAGGTCTTTAAGGAACCCCCACTGGCTGCATACAGACGCCCAAGGAACCTAAAGGACATGGTAGTAAGAACCAGACTGGACAACCCATTACCTAACGGGGGCTTTAAAACTTGCTCTGACAGAAGATGTCTTCTTTGTAAGCACAGCACTGACACAAACAGTTTTAGCAGCCCTGTTACAGGCCGCAGCTACAAAATACTAGGGAATTTGTCCTGTCAGACTGACAACTGCATTTATCTCATCAGTTGCAAGGTTTGCTCCAAACAGTATATTGGTGAAACAGGAGATCTCCACAGGAGAGTTAATAACCACCGCTCGACCATAAGGACCAAAAAACTCAATGAACCCGTTGGGGAACATTTCAACCTTGAGGGCCACAAATGGGAGGACATGACAGTAATGGTGATTGAACATAACCCATGATGGACAGATGCTCAGAGAAAAAGCAAAGAAAAGTTCTGGATGCACAGATTGAAGTCATTCCGCCCTAATGGCATTAACAAACTGAATGACTTCAACAGAATGAACGTAAACTAGACCCAATTCCTGATGATACTAAACAAGATTATTCTCTCAATTAAGTGTTAACTCTACAGTTTATTTGCATCACCAACTCTCGGACAACCCACAAAACTATTTATTTTTTACGCTTTTGTTAAAAAATTTTTCCCGGTAATAAATCCTTAAATATTTCTAAATTTATAATGGATCATAATTCATATGTTTAAATACCCCTGCCATATTATTTTTCTTTGATTATTCTTTATTAAGTAAAGTTATGCCATTTTGAGAGAATGAAACAGTGTACGATTTACTAATTGTTGTATTCATTAGCATAATTAATTCGTTCAATTATCACAAAACTATTTATTGTTTACGCTTTTGTTTAAAAAAAATTTTCCCGGTAATTAATCCTTAAATATTTCCAAATTTATAATGGATCATAATTCATATTTTTTTTAAATATCCCTGCTATATTATTTTTTTGGATTATTCTTTATTAAGTATAGTTACGCCATTTCGAGGTAATGAAATAATGTACGATTTACTGATTATCGTAATTAATTAGCATAATTAATTCGTTGAATTATGTAAATCGCACTTTACCCGAGTATACCCGATAGACCGGACGCATTTCACAGCGGTCCAGATTTCTTTCTCTATTACTGTTCTTAATATTTCCAATTCAACGTGTAATTATGTAAATATCTAGTGTTTAGTAGTTTAGTAGTAGTGCTAGTTCTTTTAATTTCTCTTTTCCCTTTGTTTTTATGACTTTTTGATTTTTTTCTTTGTCCTGAGGAAGGAACAGGACGTCCCGAAAATTTGACAATTTTTATTGTTCGTGTCGTTGGTCATTTTAGTGCTTTATATATATATATATATATATATATATATATATATATATATATATATATATATATATATATATATATATATGTTCAAAAAATTATTTTTCCTTGGTATAGGGCTACATATATATATATATATATATATATATATATATATATATATATATATATATATATATATATATATATATATATATATATATATATATATATATATAGGTGAATCTTTTTTTATCGTTAATTTAACCAAGGAGATCCTCCAGTAATCATATTTCTTGGATATTTTTTTTATAACCTTTGATTAAAAATACTTTGAAGTTTCAATGAGAAACCTGCATTTCAAACGGAAGTGTGCCTATTTTGTACATCTGAGAGGTATATGCAATATTTGTCTAAAAAACAGTCTAAAAGAAACAGTGAAGTTTTGATTTTGCAAATATAAATTTGATCTATGAAAAATTTTGATGTAATCAATTTTTGGAATTTTAATAAATTTTGGTACTTATACAGTTTTCATTGTATTTTCCTGGAATTCCACGGTATTTTTAAATTTTACAAATAAACTGGAATTCCAGATTTCCTCCACAAATTTCTATTCTGGCATTGTTCTGCTATTTTCCAAGCTAGTTTTCAAATTCAATACCATTCTGGAAAAAAATTCCGTCCAAATACTCTCAAGAATTCCTGTAATTCTGTTGAACAAAATTTACGGGGAATTCCATGGAATTTTTTATAAAATTCAACGGATCATGCGGAAAATCTACATTAGGGACGTTCTTAAATACGACTGATTGTTTATCTAAAATGAAACGAATTTGGTAACTTTCTTGCGATTACGCTGTTCGATTCAGCACCATAGTGTAAATTTGTTTACCTGTGCATAGAATGAATTACAGTCTAAAAGAAACAGTGAAGTTTTGATTTTGCAAATATAAATTTGATCTGTGAAAAATTTTGATGTAATCAATTTTTTGAATTTTAATGAATTTTTGTACTTATACAGTTTTCATTGTATTTTCCTGGAATTCCACGGTATTTTTAAATTTTACAAATAAACTGGAATTCCAGATTTCCTCCACAAATTTCTATTCTGGCATTGTTCTGCTATTTTCCAAGCTAGTTTTCAAATTCAATACCATTCTGGAAAAAAATTCCGTCCAAATACTCTCAAGAATTCCTGTAATTCTGTTGAACAAAATTTACGGGGAATTCCATGGAATTTTTTATAAAATTCAACGGATCATGCGGAAAATCTACTGTAGGGACGTTCTTAAATACGACTGATTGTTTATCTAAAATGAAACGAATTTGGTAACTTTCTTGCGATTACGCTGTTCGATTCAGCACCATAGTGTAAATTTGTTTACCTGTGCATAGAATGAAAAACAGTCTAAAAGAAACAGTGAAATTTTGATTTTGCAAATATAAATTTGATCTGTGAAAAATTTTGATGTAATCAATTTTTTGAATTTTAATAAATTTTGGTACTTATACAGTTTTCATTGTTTTTTCCTGGAATTCCACGGTATTTCTAAATTTTACAAATAAACTGGAATTCCAGATTTCCTCCACAAATTTCTATTCTGGCATTGTTCTGCTATTTTCCAAGCTAGTTTTCAAATTCAATACCATTCTGGAAAAAAAATCCGTCCAAATACTCTCAAGAATTCCTGTAATTCTGTTGAACAAAATTTACGGGGATTTCCATGGAATTTTTTATAGAATTCAACGGATCATGCGGAAAATCTACATTAGGGACGTTCTTAAATACGACTGATTGTTTATCTAAAATGAAACGAATTTGGTAACTTTCTTGCGATTACGCTGTTCGATTCAGCACCAGAGTGTAAATTTGTTTACCTGTGCATAGAATGAAAACGATTTGAGTATTTGTTGCATTAAAAATAACCTTTTATTAATTCAAAAATGTAACACATATCGAATATTTTTTATTAATATACAATAACAAAATCAATTCTCTATTTACTTTTATGGCGTAGGCAGGTCCCTGAAACAGCCCTGTTTTTCTATAAAAACCGACATTCATAAGCTTTTTTATGAAATGTGCACGTGTGTAGACTACAAAACTCGAAGCAAGCAACGATGTGGTCTAAAACGTATTTCAATCTAAGTCAAATATATATATTTCAGCTGCACAGGATTGATACGTGATTCTTATCTAATAATTTTTATGACGTTTGTGATTTATTGTAGAATAATGTTCGCAGCATTTCTTTGATCTTGGCAATAAGCGTAGTAGAATTATTGTTAATGTTTAATATTTAGATTTTAAGTAACAAATTAAGATATATTTATATAATTATACGCACATAAACATAATTTGTTGAAATATCATCCCTTTTTTTAGATTTGTTTCAATTAAAGGAAATTGTTCAAGATATTCTCATCAAAATTCATACACCACAACAAATTTTCTTGGTAATTATATTCGGCTTGGCAATCATATCTTATGGACGTATTTCTAGTTTTTCAAATTATGATCTCCGTTATCTTTTTTTTTATTAAACATGTTTAAATGCTCTCACTGATTCTCAAAACATCCTTTAGTTAAATGTGATGCCTCAAACCGTGATTATTTTAAAGATGATTTTACTTTGTATTTTCATGTTCGTGGCAAATATGGACGACAATAATCACCCCAACAATGTACGGGGTCATGGTTTCTACAAACTTTTATGTACACTTCTTTAAAATGTGTCCATATAAACAATGCTCTTGCTGTTTTTTTTTAAAGAAATTTTGATTATCTGGTTTTTTTTTATCTTCATCATTCATTGAGACTTAACCCTACCCTATTAGGTCATGCTTCGAAATACTGGAATACTAGTATATCTGTAGGGCATGATGCCCGCCAAATGTGTATTACCAATTAAAGTGAATTATAGAATTATTTTGAAATTTTCTTTGGTAAGCCCAATATGAAGAAGTGTTCATTTAAAGTCACAAACATTAGTGCAGGTATTACTGTCTCATCTTAGCATCTGATTATAAAATGGTACTGCACTGAGACATTCATCAAATATAGATATACTTGCAATGGTGTTGTTTAATAAACCAAAGATATTGAATATTTAATTTAGTTTTTTTTTACATTCGTCACGGGCATCTATTGCAGGAGGTACAAGATTATCCATCTGTGAGATTTACAGTTTCAAAATGCAAAACATTTGCTGGAATGAATATAGAAGATCGTTTTGAAGGAGGTATTTGTTTAAAAGTAACATAATTATAGTAGATGAATTCCTATATTGCTATAGCATTTACATAATGCATAAGTGCAATTCATCTAGATTACTGTATTCAAACAAAAACACCAAATATTTAGAAGCTTTTAAAGCATTAGATACCAAGAAGGATAATTTTTTCTATACGCCAAGCTAAATACCTTTTTCTGACAAGAAGTGATTTTTTTTATTTCAATTACATTTTAGATAGATATGTATTTGCTAAAAATATAATGAATAATTTTTGCAGCGATATTAAGAAACATTTTCTGACTTTACATAAATTCTGTTTAAATTAAGCACGAATTCCTCTTGAGCGAAAAATTTAAGGATATGTTACACACTGTATCTGTGTATTCCATTCCTTTATCGATGATATATATCCTGGTTAGCCTAAAATAATAGATAACACAGCAATTTAAAAAGGCGGTAATGATAATCTAACAACCAAGCTCTATGATGAATGGGATGACTAACTTTTCTATCGTCAACTTCCATTACTTATGCAGCAATACACCTTCGTTACCTGCATATGGTGTTTACATCTCGCAGTTGATTCAATACACAGGAGCAGATTCTACTTATGAACAATTTCTAAAACGAGGTAAATTATTAGCAATCAAGTTGAAGAAATAAAATTTATGTAGTCTCCTTTTAAGTCACCATTTCGTAAGCTCTATGGTCGAAGCAATGACATTGTCAGCAAATACAATTGCTGACTGATATTTTTCAAACTAATTGTTATTCCACAATTTATACACTGAATTGACGACGAATTTTTAGTTATTACTCGAACATGACAAGGAGCACATGGCGGGTGTGACCGTTCAGCAGGAGATGCTCACTCCTCCATGGCACTTGATTTCACCTCTGATGTTTAAGAAGTCCGTACTTGCTCTGGTCTTGTTTTATGGACTTTCGATTTTGAAAACTGTTTATTATTTCCATATGTTTCATGATAACACGAAAATATTTCGATATTTTCCAATGGTTTAATTTATTATTTTTCGACAATTTTTTTTTTTTGGGGGGGGGGGGGGGGGATTTGTAAATTATGCATCAGACTTACTTTCGATACCATACCAAGGAATGTTGTTTTATTTGAAATATGGACGCCTTTATAGAAATGAAGACTTTGTCAAGTATAATAACGAACACAAACCGACGCTAAAAAATCAAAACTTCACATAATTCAAACAATCATACATAAATATTCATAGCACTGGTATCAATTTACTTTTTTTACATCTTCAAAATTAGTTATAATTATTCGGAATTTGCCAAACGACGGCTGTATATGGATAAAGGTCCATTTACGTCAAAGTAAAAAAAAAAAACCAGTATGAATGGATATTTTGCAAAATGTTATACGTATATAAAACAAATAGTTTCTTAAAATTCGTAGTTAAAGTTAAAATTGGACAAAGAGTGGTTAGAGGAAAAGACTGGAAGTATGATGACGCAGATGGAGGGGAAGGAAATATTGGAACTGTGATGTTTGTTAACCATGAGAAAGAAATGGTTATAGTTCAATGGGATTCTCAAGAAAAACGGTCAAACTACCGGATAGGAAAAGATAAAAAATTTGATTTGAGACTGTTTGACAACGCTCAGACAGGTAAGTTAGGTTTTCAATATTTTTTTTACATTATATAATATTTGTTGGTGACTGCAAATAAACCTAACAAAAAACGACGAATTTTTTCAAATATAAGTAATGAACATAATTCTCTCAGGTGCAAAACACCGAAATTATACATGTGACGAATGTTATACATCACCAATATATGGAATGAAATGGAAATGTCGACAGTGCGAAAACTTTGATCTTTGTTCCGACTGCTACATGAGTAATGAGGATGATTTGTCTCATGTATTTGAACGGAAACTGGAAGAAGATTCCATAAGGTAAATTTTCTTTCAATTCACATTGTATGTAGAAAAAATATCTATAAATGTTCACTCTAAGGATATGTTTTTAATACTAGTATACGAAAATATATGGAATTAACTAAATAGAGTTAAATTGAATGTTAACATATTATGAAGACACAAAAATAGCAATCCTTTAAACGCTAGACCTTTTTTGACGTCAACGCATATATAAGATATGGATCGGAGGTACATGTATAAAACAACTCGTCAGAGTTATGGAATTATGATTCTTTATTAGTCATTTTTAGAAAACTAGATCATTGGTCTACCAAATCTTTTCTTTTTCACTTAGCACTGAATTGTATGTAAAAAAATAACTTAATTTCTTGTCATTAATTTCCCTTATGTACTATTCTTACACTTGTATTCATTGTCTATTAACTTATTGTCCCGTGAGGATCCGGGTTAGAATAGGTCCTCAGTACCCCCTTCCTTGTCGTAAAAGGTGACTAGATGGGACGGTCTTTCGGATGAGACCGTATAAACTGAGGCCCCGTGTCACATCAGGTGTGGCACGATAAAGATCCCTGATGCCTAGCATAGACCTAAATTTGCGGCCCTTCACCGGCAATGGTGACGTCTTCATATCGGTGAAATATTCTGGAGAGGGGCTTTAAACAGTATACAATCAATCAATAAATCTATAACCTTATTCAATGAAATTACACAAAATCATGCTCTAAGTATTAACACTTTTTTAAACTTGGCAGAATACTGACACACAAGTTGATACTTAGAAACTTTGAACAAATGCTTTCAAATCTAACATTTCATAGAGTCATTCATGTACCTTGTCTGACCTTTCCTACACTTTTTAGAGTCTAATATAGCTAGGAAATATTCTGTTCCTGACCGGTAAATAAAAAAAAAACTGTGGTTGGGACTAGTCGATAAGAATCTTCTTGACAACTGATCCCACTTCTGAAATTCTCGGGGTGTGCTGTATGCTATGTGCAAAGATTTATCTTTGTTCTTGTTCTCTTCATCGTCATCTGTTACAATACCACATATTGTTTATTTATCAACAATATTAAGAGATATTTAAGGAGAAAAAGAATAGTATTAAAGCTTTTAAGACCAATAAATTATTCTTTTAAATAAGCATACGTTAGATACATAATGAAAATTTGTGCTTTTGAAACACTTTTGTCCCAGTTAGGCAGTATGCGGAGAGGGTTGCCGTCTTTCAGTTGCAAGTCATACTCAGAAAAAGTTTTGTCTCTAGTATATATGTAAAAAAAATTGTAAGTTATTTGAATTCATCAAAGTTAAACTATTTCTCCAAAAAGTACCAATCGCGATTGTTTTCATCTAAGAGGGAACAGGACCTTTACCTTAAAAAATTCCTGTCAATGAATTTTTTTCGTATTTTTCATATTGCTAATTTGATATGTATTTAACATTTTAAAACGGTCCTGTCATGGGATTTCTTGACTTATTTAAAAGATATCGCCCTGTTAAAAGTTTGTATGGAGTTTACCCGGTAGATACTTCATGTTTACAGGCCCATTACGGGGTCCATAATTCGAAATTTTACGCCCATATGATAAATATGATGGATAACACTATATACTCAAATATTTCAGAATATTCATAGTGTTTAAATTATCTGAAAGCAATGGTTTTAATTTTTTATAGTATTTGGGTTGGATAATTTCTGCAATTTTCAAGGCATATTCAACGACAAAAACCTCATTTGGAAAAAAAATAATGTGAATAAACATTTCTAAATTTACGATTGAATGTCAGTCCTTCATCGTATTTATTTACTGCAGAAATATAACAGGGTAAGGCCTACCTCAATATCGCACATGACATCGTTAAATTAGACGTAAGCATAATAAAAACGCCTCACGTTTGCATTTTCTGAGTGGAGGAAATCATTGTGATGTCACACAAAAACATAAATATTCAAAATTATCTAAGTAGAGAAAATCTCTGCTACTAAACACGAAAAAATATTATTATCTAATAAAATCTGCTTCAGAAATTTATCACGATAACTTGACTGTGACCTGTTTAAAATGAAATAAAGCTGATCATGACGGGTGTGTGTGCTTGATCTCGCTGCCCTGAGAATTCAAACACTACGTCACGTCTATGACGTCACTGACGTCAGACTGCAGAGTAAAGAGAAACAAATGTGTGGATTGAGCAACTTTTTAATATCTAAATATGACAAGATCTTTAAAACATTTTTCAATAATAATTTCTATAATAATATGAAAAAAAAACAATTTAAGAATTTAGAATATAATTGCACAATAACTGTTGATTTTAATCACAATTAAAATGTAAATAATCAGCGATTATGACGTTTTATGTCTTTTTAGTCAGATGACATGTTCCTTGTCTCCCCTTAAAGAATCATGAGATTGATTCAAAGTTGGTATAAAGATTTAGACGTTTTAAAAATATTATAACCAGTCACGATGTGTTTAATTTCGTGGAAAATTGATAAAGCACAACCCAAGAAAAATGAAAACCAATCATTTGCCAATATGCAGTATGAGAGGTCTATGACTAACCGTTCAAAGGTTACGATCATGTTTTATGTGAAGCATGAAGTCCTAACTCTAGTTGGCTCAATCTTCTGTAGGTCATACTAGTATTAATTCTAAGATGTTAAATTTATCGATTTTTCAAAAATATCGATCGTGATAGTTTTAATTGCACGCTGCAAGAAGTAAATCTTCTAATTGGCATAGGCATTTAATAATTTTAAAAAATAATGATAGCATTCGTGATTGATTAAATTTGGCGGAGAAATGATGAATAGTTAACAAAATCAATTTTAAAGATCGTTATTATTTGGCAATCTACTGTATTTAAGCTTTGGTTAATGCAAGGTTAAAGTTAAGAAAACAGGAAAAAAGGTCAAGATTTCAAATGCATAAGGTAAATGTTGAAAAGGTATCCCAATTTTGCTTTATGCAGACGTATAAGACAACTATCTCATATATAAGTAAGGACGTCGCTTATTATAGTTCATCTAGACACCTTTCGGTATTCAGGATAATGAAATTGTGTTACTGTGTTTAACACTTTGCTCAGGGATAGAAGCCTCAACAAATACAAAAGGAATGTTCAATTATGAACTATGAATTATGAATAATTATTACCAACTTTGAATCAATATAATGATTCTTTAAGGTGAGACAGGGAACATGTCATCTGACTAAAAAGACATATAACGTCATAATCGCTGATTATATACATTTTTATTGTGGATAAAATAAACAGTTATTGTGTAATTATATTCTAAATTCTTAAATTGTTTTTTTTCATATTATTATAGAAATTATTATTGAAAAATGTTTTAAAGATCTTGTCATATTTAGATGTTAAAAAGTTGCTCAATCCACACATTTGTTTTTCTTTACTCTGCATTTGCAATTATGAACATAATTTTTTTTCTGAATTACAAAAATGTATAATTGAAATTTCTGACGTTTTTAATGTTTTTTGCCTGGAAAAAATCAAAACCTGTGTTTCTGTTTGCTACTGGAGAAGACTTATTCACGTCGAACAGACTGGCTATAGCATATTATCAAACTGTCGTTATTCGTTTTCATTTCGTTCATTTTGAAATTTCTTCATAAAATGCTTTCTTTGGTTGTTACTTCAGGAGCTCATGTCGTAATTGCTGCAGAAAAAAATAACTCTCGTTAGTGTGTTATGTGAGTTTTGTCTCCAACAGCTTCAACGTTATTTCCCGTACTAACGAACAAAGAGAGCATTTTAATGTTTATATTTGTATCTGTATCAAAAATCACTCAAAGTGAATTAAATTTGATTAAATATTGTATTTAAGAGAAATATGTAATTGTATTCATAAGTGAACATGGTGAAGGAACAGTAATTGTTCAAGAAATATACGCATGTGTGCAGCACAGTTTAGGTTACAGTAAGGAGACGGGGCTGTTTTGAATACTTTAAATATTCGACAGAGTCAAAATGAATTTGAACTACCTTATATATATTTTGGATTCCGAAACTACATAAGAATCCTTACAAACAGATACATTGCAGGTTCCAATAAGTGTTCAGCCAAGCCTCTTTCGGTACTTCTCACTAAAATATTGACAGTAGTGAAAGAAAAACTTCAAGAGTACTGTACAACTATATATTCAAGAAGTGGTGTGAATCAGATGTGGATACTTAAAAATTCTAAAGAACTTTTGGACAATTTGAAATCACAAGACTTTACAAAAATCTACAGCTTAAAAACTTTATACACAGGAATTCCCCATGACAAATTAAAATCCAGGCTTTTTGATATCATTGACAGCTGCTTCTTCTACAAAAATGGAACTTACTAACCTCGTCATTGGTCACTTGAAAAATTATTTTGTTTAAACAGCTTCTGATTGCACACATAATTACTCTGAAGTTGAGATCAAGAAGACGCTTAAGTTTCTGTTTGACAATATCTCTGTGGTTTTTGGAGACCAGGTATTCCAACAATCTATTGGAATTCCCATGGGAATAAATTGCGCTCCGTTATAAGCAGACTTATTTTTATATATATGAAGCAGAATTTATGCAACATCATATGCGTGAAAAGAAGAAAACGCTTGCTGTGGCCTTCAACTATACATTTAGATATATCGACGACGTATTGTCAATTAATAATGATGATTTCCATTCCTACGTCAAATATGATATATCCTGGGGTGAGCTTGAGATAAAAGATACCACAGAGTCCAACACGTCTGATTCATACTTGGATATTTTCCTTGAAAAGGAAACTAATGGTAATCACCTCCATACGGAGTATATATATCTCAGTTGATTCGATACGCAAGAGCATGCTCTACGTATGAACAATTTCTTAAACGAGGTAAATTATTGACAAGCAAGTTGATGAAACAAGAATATCAACAGTCTCGTTTAAAGTCATCATTTCGTAAATTCTATGATCGATACATTTACCTTGTCAGCCAATACAATTTATAATTGAATGAAATGCTGACTGACATTTTTCATACCAATTGTCAGTCCATGATTTATACACTGAATTAACGACGGATGTTTTCCGTTATTTCCTGATTATGAAAACGAGCACACGGCGGGTGTGACCGGTCGGCAGGGGATGCTCACTCCTCCATGGCACCTGATCCCACCTCTGATGTTTCGGAGGTCTGTGTTTGCTCTGCTCTTATTTTGTATATTGTTTAATGGACGTTGAGATTGAATGCTGTTCGTTATTTCCATATCCTTCCTGTACGGGAAATGTTTACTATGACATCACATATAATATAATGTCTTCTAAATACCACAAAATGAAATTATTTGCCACTTCAAACAGCTGGATAGCTGTATACTACATACAAACTAACCATAACATGCAGTTTTGTCGTTTGTTAAATTCCACACAACAGTATTTAAACGATTCATCGATCATAATGCACTTGTCAATGTGACCTCATCTTGCAAAAATGACGCCGTTTGTACATAGTGAGAGGCTGATTAAGTCATATTTTGTACAATGAAAAATGTCTTTTGTTCTCAAAGAAAATATTTTTGCTGTAAAATATAAAGCTTTTAACTTGTATACGATGTCTATTTTAATATTTTATTTATAAACTCTACGTACATTCTCAAGACAAGAGATACTGTCGTGTGTTTGTATGCAGATTCATTGAAAAAGTAATGGAAGGGCCCTAAGAAATCGATTTATTGCAAGGGCCTACCCTCAATATATCTTGTTAAAATTTTACACATAAAATCAATCATTCAGATATTTGAAAAGCGCTGTGAACCTCCTGAAATCTTGCAAATAAATTAATTATAGCTTATTTTAATGTAGTTGACCAGCAAAATATTCAACCTACCGTCCAACAAATTAAATTTTACCAATTAAAAAAGGGAATCTATATAGATTTGCAACACTTTTCACAAAATAAATATATTGTTAAAAAGGATTATACAATATACTTAGATTTTTAACTTGGTAATGCCCTTGCAATATTAAAATTTAAAGATGACCTCTGAACTGCAAGTATAATTGCCAAAGTTATGTGACGTCGACATTACATAACAAGTCTAAATAAAAAAAATCTAAATGTCCCAATATGTAGATTTAAACCTCATTACATTTATTTGATATCAGTGAACTCCTAAAAAGAATCGACCATCCTATTAAAGTACGTATTTTTTATTTTTAAAAAATCGCCGATATTTCCATTTGTAACCTTAACTGTGCTGCGTAGCTTGCTTAGTGTTCATGTACTGCTTAATGGCAAGGGTATTCACAAGAAATAAAGGGAAAAATACTTTGGATGCAAATAATTATATATATCTATAGCTTTTTAATCCTGTTAGAATAATTTACAGAATGTTATGATGACTAAAATTTAAAAAGTAGTCTTTTTATTACTTCTAAGGTGTTTATACTTTCAATTTCAAATCTATTCAATTTAAAGTGTTGAGCTTGGTCCGCGAAAATATTTGCAACCTGTTGAAGCTCGTGGAATTTTGCCCTGTGCAGACGTAAAGCTACGAGATTACACAACGAAAGAAGAGACAGGTACCTACATTACCTACTTACATTACCTAATTTTCATCTATGAATATACAGTTGATGTTTTCTTACGATAAATTATGTGATTCTAATAGAAGTTAAATTATCCTGTAAGCCGAAGTAGATCGCTTAGAATGGCATTAGATATGTATCAGAGTCTTTGTAATATGCAAATTAAAATCATTGATTGTATGATGTCTTACATCCCATTCGATATTTTTTTTTTCATTCATGTAAAGACGTCACCATAAGTCCGATGTCACCGTTGAAAGAGTTTCAAATTCATACCATTAAATAGCATTCAGGGCCATTGAGCATCGAGGGATCTTTATCGTGCCAAATCCTACCGTAACATAGAGATTCGGTTTTCATTGTCTTGTCCAAAGAACCAACAACTTACAATGTGGCGAGTACTTATGTACTTGCCCAAGGAACAGTTGCTATCTATATTTTATTGACTTATTGGTCAAAGACTCGATATCATGCATCCTTTTAAAAAGATTCTGAGATTGGTCCTATATTGAGGCTAAAGGTAAGATACAAAATCTCGTAAATACATTGGGAACCCATCTTCTGGTGAGATTTTCTATATACATTATTCAATATAATCAATGAAATGAAGATACCATAAGGGATATGTTATTTACAAGACCTTTAAAGCCATGTCCGGTCAAAATGATTTAATTGTCCTAAATATTCAAGGTAATGTACCTAATTTCCCTTCAGTGGTAGTGAAAGAGGAGGTCCTCGAGTACTTCTTTGATAAACTTAATGAAAAGTTCAGATAAGTGTTTTCGACAATCTTCAATCAAAAATCTAAATTTTGGGGGAGTTTCAACAATTATTAATCTGTAACGAACAGAGAAAATTTTCCTGAAATTACAACAAAACTCATTGCATATTTGCCCTTTGCATTCAATTTAAACAATTTTTTCTCTAATTTGGTTGTATGAAGCTACTTAGTCACCAACAACATTTAAGTGCTCGTATGTCTACTTTTTACGAGGGATGATTCAAAAGTTATGTCACTCTGTCAATATTCTTAATATTTGCGTCATATTATCAAATATGATATACAAAACGATGCAAAACAATAAATCTAATCAAAATTGAAAGTTTCATTTAATAATGTACGTATACTTGAATTAACTAGACGTTTAAAATATTCAACATAAGGGATGTCGCCGCATCACAACTAAATGTCAAGTTATAAAGTGTAAATTGTTAGAATGAAGAAAGATAAAAACATTAAAAAGCATCTTATAAGCGTCCAGTCGTCTAATATTTTAAAAGACACATTTTTACAATTTCTACTTTTAATATGAAAATAAAATGACGCCATTTTTTAAATTCTAAACATTGTTATTTTATTCTGCAGTATTGAACAAAGGAAATGAGAAAAACTGCTTATTAAAAAACGATCTGTAATGCTTTGTTTGCTTCAAAATTGGGAAATCGCCTGTAGAAACAGTTACGATGAATAAATCAGACACACAGCGGATAGAATGAAAGCAATAAACTTGATTTTAGATGGTTTTAGTAATTTTAAGCGGGTCAAGGGTTACTGAATGATCAGCAGAGAACAGATAGGCCAAGGAGGGAGGTAGGGCGGAAACGTTCAATGATGTCTGATGTTGTCCAAAAAGGAGAGACGGTTAGACGGTTAGCGCGATATGGGAAACTTGAAGTTTGTCTTATTGTACTTTAATGAATATTGACAGAGAACTAGATTAGGTTTAGAGTAAGTATACATATACAATGTGTTCTCATTATTCTTTAAAAAAATGTTTGTAATTGTGTTCGTGAATCTCAAATATTTTTAATTACACAGAGGGGAAGCATTTTCACTTTTCAAGAGTGTATGACGGCGTGTATCCATCATATGACGTTATTTAGGTACGCTGACTGCCATAATTGCACATTGTCTATAATTCGATATTTTGAAAAGTATCATTAATTTTTGTTTGATTTTTCAGGACTTATTTGAATAAATATAGCTTCGATTACATATAATTTCGTTAATTTACATCGAATTTTAGCAATTTTATCGAGGTTGTGACATTACTTTTGGATCAACCCTCATACCTTTGATAAGGAGTAAGAAAACCTCTTTTAAAATGATTGTGCAGATAATGCATATCTTCATCGCGTTTCAAATACCATCTAAATACATCTGATTGACAAGGGGTCCAACCTGATGTCTATTTAAAAAAAGTAGGTGAATTTGGAAATTGATCTCAAATTTATGTCGGAGGTATATGGGATTTTGGTATTTCTTTTGTTGTAATGAAGGTTGTATAAGAATAGATCTAAACAGAAAGTAAAATTTTAGAACATTTGTTTACAAAGCAGTTAATTAGTAAAATTGGGTACATGTACCCAATGTATGGAATTCAATACCTTTATCTTCTGTTTACACCCTTTTTAAAATTCGGGGTAGAGTGTACCGTTGTGAGACAAGATTTATTTGATAAATGTATATATAGTATCCAACCCTAAGTATGACAACACAATTTTTTGTTCTTTTTTCATATTGATTAAATATTTTTCTCGTAATATTTCAGGCACTGCATGGTCATATATTGGTAAAAAGTTTACCCTTTATCAATGTGACGTACTTGTTACAACTGAAAATGGGGAACCACCTCGGAGATACCGCTTGGGACGAGAGGGCAAGGTTGATATCAAGTACACAAGCTCTGAGAACAATGATTCCTCCAGTTACTACGAAGAACACCTACCAAACATGACATCAAGTTAGTTATTGTTTATTTTACTACTATATTAAAGGGAATTTTGTTATTCTCCCCAATTTTACTTTTGTCGTCAGTGGTCAAATTCCGAAACAAAACAAAAAAACCCAAACAGTTGTATTTCCGAAAACACAACTTTCAAGACGAGTATCTTAAACGGTAAAAATCATTTCCTTGCACAATATGGGAAAGGAAAAATATGAATATAACGAAGAGTTTTCAACCTCAAAGTCCATAAAACAAAACAAAATGGGAGCAGACGAATCAGTGCTCCTTGTCATGATCAGGAAATAACGGAAAATCCGTCGTCAATTCAGTGTATAAATAATGGACTAACAATACATATGAAAAACCTCAGTCAGCACCTGACTAAATGATAAATTGTATTTGCTGACAAGTTCATTGTAAATATCAGGGCCAAAATAACCCTTACATGAACCTATATACATGCTCTCTTTCTTTCTTTCTTTTCTTCTACATTTTGGAAAATAACGATATTTGTGATCTGCAAAAATTAATGTATTTCAGGGTTGGCAAAAGAAGGAATGAGAGTTGTGTATACATCGTCCAACAATGGCGAGGGTATACTTGGGACAATCATCAACGTCAAGGTTTATAATTTATTAATAACTATCTAAAATGTTCTGTATTAATGTCATCGTAACTTAAATGGTTGGATAAATAGAGGATATCTATATTGTGTGAATTGAAATTGGCTTTATCCAACGACTTGAAATGGTTATATATTCACGAGGCTTGCCGAGCAAATATACACCATTTCAACTCGTTTGATAAAGCAGATATCAAATCACACAATGATAGTTGTTCTATTTATCTCATACGACTTTTGGTTTGAACAAAACTTTGAGACGTCAACTGCAAAACTACATGAATGATTGCTTAATTCAATTGATGACGTATAACTTGATGACATCGCATCGTTGATGTTGCAATGCCTCCAAAGAAAGTAGATCATGTTCAAAATTTAGAAATTCTGCTATCTGCGTCTTTGAAATCATTTTGTGACAATTGATTGAACTTTACATCATGCGAACTTCTGATTGAGAGTCGTAAGGACCGTGGGATCGTGAAAATTACTTCTCTGTACGATGGCAGTACAAAATTAACGTGCATAGGCAAGGCCATACTACCTGTCGATTCATTTTTGATCCATATGGTTAGTTATACCTACATTACTAGATAGGCATACATAGTATAATGTAAGAAGGCATTATTGAAGATGTTAAAGGAAACTTGTAACAACTTAACAGCTAGGCTTCAGTTTCCCATAAAATCTTTGAAAAAGGGGGGGGGGGGCATCTGTTGTCAAGTAACTAAAACAGGTTCCTTAATAAAAGAAGACTAATCTTTGACATATACGAGTCTTTTCTTGTTTTTAACGATATTATTACTCTGTATCATTCATTTTATTAGGGCTATAATTTTCAAAAAAAATGTTTCAATAAAATAAAACTCTTGAAGCGATTGATCGTGTCAAAACCTGAAGTGCTATTGATAAAGCTATTACCCGTTTATAAAGCATAAGTTTATCCAACAGACTATATCATCCACACTTATGTGATAGATATTCTAATCAGAAGCATGTCTTTACATGCAGCTCAAATTAAGCTATGAATAATTCAGGTTTATAATCTAAATTTAACCTTATAGAAATTACGGCACATTTTTTGTGCATTTTTCAGAAGAGGAGTAAATCTGAGGATACAAAAACCACTGATAACACACTTGAGATGGGAATTGAAGTACAATTAGATGACGGTTCTGTCATTGCACCTCCAATCCATGAAATAAAACTGTATGACAACAGCCAAATAGGTTTGTCATACCTTGGTATCATACTCTGAGTGTAGAAATAAGAATAAGTGACTTTTTAGGACAAAACTTTCCGTGTGATTTTTTCATAACAAACACAAAGCAATATCTATATCCCGTTACTGCGCGATAATGATTTTGTCCTATTGGCTCAGTAATCTAAACGAAACATAAAGTACATTTTAGATCATGGTTTTAATGTAAAAATCCTGATAAAATCCTTATTCATGTAACTGAATTCCTTTAGAATCATTGATTCAAGACTCGAATCCTTTACAACCCTTACCTTTAAAAAAGATACGTCGTCAATTCAGGTTATGAATAATGAACTAACTATTAGTATCAAAAACTTCAGTCAGCATTTGACTGAATGATAAATTGCATCTTCTTACAAGGTCATTGTATAAAATGCAGAACTTAGAAAATGATGACTTTTAACGAGATAGCTGAAAGTCTTGTTTCATCAACTTAAGTGTCAATTACTTACCCGATTTTAGAAAATGACACTTGAATGGCGTAAATTGGCAAGTTATCAGAAAAATAATGTAAATATAAGAAATGAATTTGATTTTTGAAGATTCATTAGGTATTTGAACAACAACGCTTCACGCAGGTATATCTATCATGAAGCGCTAACGACATGAAGCGTCATTATTCATAACCTCATGAATCTTCAAAAATTGAATTTATTTCTTTTATGACCTGAGAGAAAATCACGTCTTGATTAATGGATACGTGGTCATCAACACTACAAGTTATAAATACTGCATTTGCTACCTATATTGAGCGATTTTGATTTTTCAGAAAAGGTCTTGCTGTTATTGACCTATAAAATTATATGTAGATATTTATATGTATTTTCAATGTATTAAAGGAAATGAACACAGTGCATATTGTGATGTATGTGGAAGCCAGACACGTCTTATCACGGGTATTCGTTGGAAATGCACAATATGTCATGGTTTTGATCTCTGCACACCCTGTTACATGAATGATGAACATAACATAGATCACAAATTCAAAAGGATCGTTGACAAGAACAAAAGGTGTTAAATATGATTTTATGATATCAAGTAAAAAAGAAACAAAACTAGAGGTTGATTATTTAAGTTATGAGTAGCTGATTTGTTATATATTCTTAGAACTATTTAATTTCAAATTTAAGCCCTTCATAAAAAACACACAAAGCTCCTTGAATGAAACGTGTTTTTTTGGTCATTTTCAAAGAGATACACTTGAAACATCAAGGGAAGATATCGTGCAAAGAAAAAAGAAACTGTTGGGAATATTTTTGCATTCAGAAGTTACAACAATAGGCGGTATGTGTTTTAATAATGTACAAAGATCAATAAGCATATACATGTATATGTAACCATCTTGAATCCTCAAACAATATAACTTTTGACATGAACCCAGCTAAAGTATTGAATTGTAAAACTGGACGTTTTGAGATAAGAGATATTTCAAGGTGAAAACATATCCTTTCCTTTAAAAACGCAGACGGATTATGCCAAATTAATATATCTGTAGAGAAAATGGGAAATATATTAATAAAACAGACTAACTCAGGTTAAATTTTAAATGTAAACAGAAGATATGAATGAGGTTTCCTATTTTTTTTTTAATGTATAAACATGAATATAGAAGAATATAATAAACCCAGCTTTATCTATTGATTGACTGTGAAAGGATCATAAAATTTAGTACAATGTATATAATAATAAAGTTATTCCATCAAATCTGTTGTAGATGTGGGTATCAGAGGAAAAGTGAAAAAGATTTGCAATTATAGAATTGACATCGAACGCAATGCTTGTGAGGTATCATGGGATTTGTCAGATAGTGAAGAATATCAAGATATTATTGACCTTATATGCATATCTAATAACGATTGTGAAGAAAGATATTATAGAGAACATTTACCAGACCTCGGAAATGGTGAGATTGTCATTTATTTAAAATTATTTATTATTGACAATTTTTAAAAAGATCACCATACATGTAATATTCTTTGAATATAATGATATCAAGCCTCTTTATTTTGAATTTAAAATCTGTATAGATACCCGTGGATATGTCAAAGTTAAAGAAGAAAATTATGAAGTGAGTACTGCATTTAATATTTCAAACTATACAATACTATATATGGATTTTGTTACAGATTAGACCCGATTTTTCAGGTTTTTTAATTGAAGAATGAATCAAATATCTATTTAAACCTATGTTTTTATATATTACGGAACTCAAGACAGTTTAATTTCTCTTATTTTTTTTTAATTATGTTATATCGTATTACATTGGTAAAGATAAGTTCCATTTCTCATCATTTACTTTAAGTGAAGACCGTAACAAAAATTTCCACCAAAAAATGTTTTCAGTTTAGCATAATTTATTCTTCCTCACTCATAAAGTCCCATATTAGATATAAAAATTGAAAACCACTGTTCATCTCTTATAATCCCCGTGATGTATGTGTCCCTATATTGAAAAAGATGCAGTTCTGTAGCTTGCTGAACTGAAAAATGGGATGAATGACTGGAGATCTTTGCCACCTATTAAAACAGCAAAAACGGTTTTATTGCGCGGAAACAGCTAAGTAGTCTTTTTGGTATGCCTTGGAATCATTCTAAGAGGGCAAGTTCCAACAGGGTTTTCCGATTTTTTGTGAATTTTACTGACAAAGGGGAATGATAATCAATAACATTCAATGATTGGATTTAAAAATGTGCAACATCTAACATGATATACGAAATTGTCACATCCTTTGAAGGCTTTGATTAGTTTGTGGTTCAACAAAGAAAAGAGTTGTCATAGAAATCCTGAAAGGCCAAGATTATATGCGATCTTTGCTGACAACCCCAAAACCAACGAAAATGATTCTCTAAGAAGACATCTAAGGGAAATTAAAAAGTTTGCAAGTAAGCTTTAGTGAACATTTCTTCTTTCCTTGAACTAGATATGCAATAGAACAATTCCCCCTTTTTTACAAGAAGAGGAGTTTAAAAATTAATATTTATCATCAAGATATTTAAGAAAATACACACTCACTCTTTCAAACACACAAGCAAGTAAACATTCACTCATGTTCCTCCACCCTCACACATACTGTCACACACACCCTCCCTTTCACCCAAATACACATCATTCCCTATTCAAACATCTTCTTACACGAAGTGGTATGATCAACACCCTTCTTTGTTTGAAAACGAGTAAATGAATCATTGATTTTATACATTAACATATAAACCTTTTGTTTAGAAAAAAGGAGAACTCCATGTGTTTCTGTGAGTCAAAAGCTGCTTTTCATCGAAGACAACATATTCATCCACTACAGAACTGAAGCCGCCGTCATAAAGGTTATTATTACTTCAGCTAACCCCAAGGATGTTCTATGTATGAGGGATTAAAATCTGTAGTTATTTCTGATGGTGTGAAAATGGTGAGGAAAACGTACTATTCACCTCTAAAGCCTTTAATTAGAAATTCTAGAATTAGATACGATATCTTTTTAGGATGTAATTTTCTTTTTGAAATCAGGGTCTCTAAGCTTAATCGGGACCAAAGGTGGTAAACTTTATAAAGAAGTCATCTAAAGAACAAAAAGACCATATCTGCCACATTTAATTAGAATTTTTATCAAGTATAATTTTTGCATCAATACATATCGCTGAATGAAAAAATCAGAACAAAAATGATGATCAATGCGCTATCTTTGGCGCTATTTGTTTGACAATGCGAAAACAATCGAGAGAAAAATATAATTTTCTTCCAGGAAAGCTTCCGCCATAAAAATTCCTCAAATAATGTATTTGGTGTGGAATGTAATCATTGGATTTTAACTGAATAAAGTTACATGTAACCTACATGTGATAGATACATGTAGTATCATAGAATCAAAGTTTATCATAAGAATTAAATATTTTACAGATTTTATTTTACAAATAGCTTAAGATAAAAATCTGCTGAAATCTCGTGAGCGATCCTCGTTAAACATATAATTTAGGATTTACTTTACGCCGTTTGTACTCCTTTTTTGAATACTGGAAATTCCCAATATTTCAAAGATCCCAATGACAGAAAAAACTTATTTCTGCAACTCATAATAGTTTTGACTCTTTATAAACAATGTTGTGCAACAATAAAATTGTTCAGATTTTTTTCTTATTTATTCTTTTATGGTGGTAAGGAAATGATTAACTTTATATATATTTTTACCATCCGGGTAATATATTTGGAATGCTTTTAGTTGTTAATATCTATGGGGTTCTCCACAATTCATAGAGGTGAAGCTAATGAAAAAGAAGACACAATCATTTACTTCCAGAGAATGGCTGAATGTAAGTAGCAAATACATAAACGAATTTCCGCTACATTTAAAAGAATTTAGTAAAATTGGATTGGATGCGTCTTTAACTGTTTTGTTTACTAAAACATATCCGTCACCAGATGAATGGTTTAATGCATTGTGTACTGATATGCATTATTTACATTTATTCATTTACGTTCTCCTGTAGCGATAAGTCGATGAATCCTGAAAACATATTTCTTTGCTATTGTATTAATATTCCTCTCAATAGAAAAATTCTCAGATGTGATATTTTTAGTTATAATATATTTCTTTTTCATTTAACCAGTTCAACAATATACACTTGTGAATTACATATAACTTCATTTGATAAATTTGATCAAATGAGTTTTAATATGGTACATTTATTGTTGTTGAAATAAAAATAATGTTCTTAAAATTGAAGTTGGTTAAAAAACAAGTTTTTCAGAATTGCCGGAAGAACTTTTATAAAACTTAAATCATTTTCCACGCCATGTAAAAGTGTTTTAAAATATCTAAAAGTCAATTTTTCATCTAATGTTTTGTGTAAAATTTTTATCACAATAAATTTTGTGGATATTTGAAAGTAAATTAATGATATTTGTTTTTTGAAAACAGATTATTGCGAAGATTTGTTGTTACCAGTTATAATATCAACTGAGAACGGGAAGTCTTGTGAAGAAGTTTTAAAATACGCATCGGAAAAGAAAACACCTATAGTGTATTTCAGGGTAACCATATTTCACAAGATCTTTTATATAAAAATGTTCATCATATTTTTATTCAATTAATTTTGCAAGCAATGGTAACATCTTTTTTGGATTTTTTTTACTACATGTAAGTCATGTTATGGACAGAATTTGAAAATACTAGCACAGTTGAATATGTATTACTTTCAAGGAATGTAACAACGCATAAATAAATACATGTTAAAGATGTTATTTATGATAGGGATGGACGATACACAGTACCAGTTTCATAACAAATATCAGCTGTTTGTCACGTGACTTGTATTAAAGTATAGAATTGTTAAGCTTAATATAAGAAATCAAGATAGTACAAGGGCAAGCGCTTGTTTTTTCAGGGAAAAATGATTCACATCGAAAAATGTTAACCTCTTCTACCCAAAATATGCTTGGAGCTAGACATAGGCGGTGCTGTAAGGGAAGTTTTGCAAATTTTGTCTTAAATGTGTACAATAGATATGAATTTCCATTTCGCTTCAATTCTATAACAAATGAAATAAAATTACGCAGGTAGGTTAAGGTTACAACCAAATATTCTACTTGTCTATATGATATGACGTCATAGTAAGCTATATGACGTGAAGTTTAGAGATAAAAATTTCTTATAATCGATATCTTAGATTGATTTGAGGTCGAAAAAATTAATCAAAATATGCAGAGGCATAATACAAAAAGAATTTTGTCGTTTCTGGATCTCTGTAGTTATCACAGGGGTTAAATACTAAACCTGTGACGTCATAACTGTTGATCATGCAGTAATAGATTGAAAGTGAAACGTAACGAGAATTCATGTAAACAAACACAAGATTTTGGAGTTTAAAAGCATTTAGAATGAATATCATGTGTGATTCATGTGGGAATAAAGCTTATGAATAAGGTATGGTAATATACTTGATCATTTTTTTCGTAAAATTAAAGCAGGGAGGGTGTTTACTTGCCGATCAGCCTTTCCTCTGTCGTTCGTTACAAATAACATTCAAAAGTTCAACACTACGCCGCACACTTTGAAACTTAATTTTTGTTTCTATCTAAAGTTTTTATTCTATTGTTTTTGGAAAGTGCTGCTAGAATCGTATGGTTTACGGGAATTAATGCATTTTTTTCGATGTTATGAACAAAATGTAAAAATTTTGGAAGGTTTCGTCAGAAAGTGTCGAATAATTATTTCTGTGATAGGACAGTAGGATTCTAGCAGCTCTTTTCATGGTACAGAGATGTTTTTACATAATTATAATTACAAATTGAAAGAAGTCGGTTCACTTTGTGCATAAAATGGCCCTGTAGATATACCAATTAATTGATCAACACTTAATACATGTATTCTATTTGAAAGATTAAAATAAAATAGAGACTTGGTACTTCCATATTCTATTAAAAAAATTCTTCTAAATGTCCAGGTGTAGGAGAACTGGCTTCATAAAACTGCAATGTTCTCGAATTGTTAGGTAAACCGGTATAATTGAGTACTTTCAGTGAAGAAAAGTTATATAAGCGCACTCTCTGATCTAAAAAATAAAACACGTCCATTAATCTTCAGAAAGAATTCTATCATTTACCAGTTGCATATTTTAGATCAGAGGTTGCGCTCTATATTGAATTTTAAAAAATAGCTTTAAAAAGTGGCCGTTTTTGTAGACTTTTTTAGAATATGAGGATATTGACGCATTTCGTGACGTCATAATGCATTGACTAGCGAGAGTATGACGTCATTTTTAATAGATACGCAATTACCAAAGATCTAAGTGATATTTAATGCATTTGTTAATTAAAACTATGCAGTTTCAGTTTTTCAGAAATTCACAGGGCCAAATAAGGCAAAAGTGAACCGTGTTCTTTATTATCCCCGGGGTAGTGTTGAACTTTTCACTTTTTCATTAAGGCATATTTTCTAATTATAGACGTCACGTTGTAATGTCGTGGTGAAGTGCTTCATGTAGTATAAATCCCATTGAAGTCTATAGAATGCATAATTATAACAAAAGTTTTATGCTTGACTTTTCCGATTTATTAGTGTTACATAATCATAAAAAAAGTCTTAATTCGCCGAATTCTGGTCCATGTGCTGCCTTAACATACCCGCGATTTTTACCAGTAACAACTCCAAGTACTTCTTCAAAATATATACTTTATAAGCAATTGATGTTTTTAATTTCAGTTCAGACAAACTAGCCTATGCCATTGTACCTTTGATCTTATCACTGATTGTTATAGTGATTCCTTTTTCCTGCGTAGATCCGATGCTGCGTGATTAATTCATTCTGTACATGCATAAAATATATGAAAATAACAACAGTATTCAAAGTATCATTATGTGCTGTTAGATGATTAGGATAAACAATGGGATTATATCATATCTTTTCAAGTATTTTTTTGTAATATTAAGAGCATCTATTCCTCTAGATTACTTAAACTGCGTTATGTCAAGGCTGGTCACGTCATATTTGACGACAGACTTTTTTTTTTTACTCCAGAGCTTTGTCATAAAGTATCATAATCTTAGAAGATTCTAGATATAAATAAATAAATTAAAGTTGTTTTTTTACGCATCATCATGTCATTAATTTGATTTTTTTCGCTCGCTCAAATTTTTATGACGTCACAATAAAACATCAAATATGGCTGAAATATTGCTGACTCGGCGTAAAACAATATAAAGTCAACCAATCAATAAATCAAATATTGTGCCCCACGAATGTAAACTCGGACCTTCCTTATCTGAGTATGTCTTTCAACTGAATTCCTTTCACGTTTGAAATACTTTGCTTTATGCATCGATAAATAGTTTTCATTAATACAGCAGATTTTCCACATGATGACTGGAGTTTTCCTTTCATAAGTCTAAGTGCAGTCGTCTTGTTTATGTTTTAAACTTTAAATCATTCATTCCTTGTGACATTCCTTGTGCTTTCTTTCTCAAATAGGAATAATTAGTAAAGTAGATGAGGACAAAGACATAAGAAGGAATCACATTTTTATAGAAATTGTATTTCTTTTTAGAATGATGGACACTCTGCATTTGTCCTTACCCCCGATGAAGAATTTCACCAATCTTGCAGAGCCACCGAGCATCGATTTGATTTAAGAACACCTTGGCAGAGACAAAAAGTTCAAAGACGTGTTATAGAAACAAATGCAAATGATGCTGATAAGAACGACGAGTTACAGTTTATTGACGCTGTCAAACTTAAACAAAACTACCCCTTTGATGCCCTTATTTGCTTTTTGCTTATTGGAGGTATTAAATTGTGTTTTCTTCCAAAGAAAGAGTAAAACAAAACGACGGGTTATAGCATTTTCCACTCACAAGTGTCGATCCAAAAGTAATGTCACAATGTCGATATATTTTATATTTTGTCTCATATTATCAAATACAATATACCAAAATATGCACATTTTAGAATCTAATAAGCATGAAAATCTTGGTTTAATAATCTTAAACTGAATTCATTTTTTATGAGTTTTATGCAAAGAAGTGTCGCCACGTCAAAACTAAACATCATGTTTTAAAGTATACTTTTTTGGATAAAAAAAAGACAAAACATTTAAAAAGAAAATTAGATACGTCATTTTTAATGATAAAAATGGTTAAAAAACCACCTTCAAGTATAGTCCATTAGATAGTACGATGTGTGACTTTGTTTATCGTAAATATCATTTTTAGATTTTTTTGCATTATCACTGTACGAGTATAATTAAAGGTACTTGGACACAGATTTGAAGTTATTATTTTCTCTATAATATTACGACATATAGCAATTCACACAAAGATTAATAAAAAAAACTTATTCCATATAAAAGATATTAAAATTTCAAATTTTTTGGAGGGTTTGATTGAGACATCCTTGCAATTTCACAAATTAATTTTATTCTTAATCCTTAGGAAAAGTGGCAACCACGTTGTGTATAATTGCAAAATATTAATACTATAATCCAGAAAATTCAGAGTGGACATGTTCGAAAGAAAAACAAACACACAATATATTTTGAGTCCGTGCAGTTGTGGTCAGCAGACTGTGCACGCACACGGTGAATTGTAAACATCAACAAAAACAGAACTCGTGCCCTGTTTACAAAACCTGTATACATAATACGAGTGTGCTCGATTTGCTAAACTCTGTTCGCAAGTTCGGAATGACTTTACATGTGAAGGAGTTTTGCTTTCTAACATTTCTACTCTTAATAAAATTATTTTTTTGAATAAATGTTTTAATATTTCTCATTAATATACAATAAGACTCACATTACCTAAGGATTAAGAAAAAGGTTAAAATTTGTGAAAGTGCAAGGATGTGTCAATCAAACCTTCCACAAAATTTGAAATTTTAATAACTTTTAAATGGAAAAAGATTTTTAATTAATTTTTGTAAGTCGTAATATTATAGAAAAAATATTTATTTCAAATCTGTGTCCAAGTACCTTTAGGGGAAACTGATGGTGGAAAAGCTAAATTCATCCAGTTTGATATTTGCTTTAAATTTTGAATGGAAATTACGTATGTCCATAATCCGTACATGTAACACATTCGAATTTGACAAAAGCTATGAATTCTATAGCAACCTTACGTTTCATTTAACAACAAATACAGTTCTAATGATAGGGACAAATTTGAAAATTTTATAATTGTTCATTATAATGAAATTATTATTTTTCAAATGAGATTCTGTATTGTTCTGTACATTATCCTATTATTTTTTTTTTAAATATGTACATCTTTTAATACTAAGATTTTTAATTTCGAAGAATTTAGCTTAACAAATTTGAAGGCTCAAGTGAACCTTTCTGACCGAAATTTATCTTATTACTGTCATCGTCGTTGTTTTCTTTTCACATTCTCATATTCTTATAAAGAATTAAAGGGCCAATTTCTACCCACCTTGCTACAAAGGACTTAAGTTAAGGGGATTCAATTCATTTAAAATGTAGGAACACGCCTTTTTCCAAGGGAAGCTGTAGTTGTGACTTCGTGAAAAATAAATGGTATCAGTTGAAAATCTTCTAAAACACCAAACACTAAATGTTTTTATAAATGTAAGACTTATGTAAAATTATTGATAGGTAGTGTAGATTCATTTATTTTTTCGAATTATTACCCCCTGTGAAATGGTTTTGTTAAAATGTATTATCAAATATTTACATAAGAATACAAAGAAAAAGTTTTTAACATTCTTCACAAAACGACAAAGCAACAAGTATTCATAATGATATAAAGTATACTCAGGTAATGAAGATTTGAATTTGTTCAAGTCATGACCCTCAAGGAGAATAAAGGGATAATACATAACAGGGGATTATAGTCATACAAAAAATAAAATATATCAATAAAAATTTCATCTTAAGAACTTTAGAACCATTATGTGACATATCAATTTATAATCAATTTTTGTAAATGTAAATTCCAGTTTGTTCACGTCATACCTCCAAGAACCACTTTTATATTAATATTTCAACTTTTAAGATGCTGATGTGAATTCAAGTATTGTTTCCCAAAGTGCTCACATAAGCGATGTGGCCTCTTGGCCTTTTTTTTAGTGGTTTGATTTTTATTTTACAGTTGCAATGGAATCAGAATCAGAGGCAGAAATATTTGTAAGATTTTACGTTGATTTTTTTTTTAATCTAATCTTTCGATTGAATTGCTGATGAGTAATTTGATAAAAATTAATTTTACTTTAACTGTATAAAATAATATTAATCAATACATATTTGAAAGAACTTTTCCTGCTTGTAAGAAGGATAAGTAGATACCGAATGGTATTCAATATAAAAGTCCATAAAATAATACAAAATATGAGCATAGCTAATTTATTATACACAAAAACGAGAGAATCTCTTTAATCTTTTTGAAAGGTATTGGTATATTTTTTCTTAATGAATTGAAAATTTCCTGTGTCTTTCCTTTCAAAGTTACTGACACAAAACATCAAATATGATAATGTATGTTTTATTCTTTCTGTAGGGAAGCTTGACTGACGTTTACCCAAATGCAATGTCTATGTACCTTTTAAAGGAAGGACAATGGAAAATTCCAAAGAATGTAATAAAGAAGTCGTTTAGTCACAAATCCATTGAATACATATACGGAGAGGTACAAAATTCTATTATGTTTCTTATTGAGATCAATTGAAAACTCCGTCATCTGTCACTTTTAAAGAAATTATTAGCTTACTAGATTGAAACATATGGAGAAAATAAACAGGAATAAGTTCAAAAGTACAATGTACATAAAACAAAACGAAATAGGAGCACTGAACAAACACAGACCTCCGAAACATCAGAGGTGAGATCATAGTATTTAAGTAGAAACTTGTAAACAAATTGTTCAGAAAACAATTAAAGGCCTTCCCATCTTCTTGATTTCTATCATTTGGTTTCAAAGAAAAAAAAGGAAACGAAAATAAGCAAGAAAATAACAAAAGTCAGTGCCCAGAAGGTACAATTTCATAAAGACCAGGCTAACAAATTGGAATTTCTTTTAGGTCTTTCCACCTTTCTGTGAAATTAATTTTCTTCTGTGTTTTTTTTTTATTATTATCTTTCCGTTTTATTTTTTTTCACTGATTCTTTGTTTCGGCATTTATCGAAAAGAGTTTTTATTCATCGGAGAGGCCATCAAAAATTAGGATCAAATTTGACCTAACACGCATAACATATGCATGTTATCGCTACTCTTTCGAAGCCGCAAACCACAGGAACATCAAATCTTCACTTAATTCTTCGACTAATGGAGTGGACTTTTGAATCTGTTTGATTTGAAAGGAATTTGTTTATCCTTTCAATGAGTTATTGGCCCTGATATGTTTTGAATTTTACGAACAATCAATAATTTTCAGACTGAAAAGCAAACAGACATGGGACCAACTGCATAAAAGTTATATGTATTTGATCTTAAAATTTATGCAATTGTCAAAGATCAAGGTCATTCTAAAATGATACAACTGAAATCTATTCATTGCGAAAGGCTCTGTGTTATATGAAGCGGGTCCAATTTGTTCTTACTTTTTTATGACATTTGATATGAACAAAAATCTTTTCGTTACATGTTGAAACAAAAACTCAGTGGAAGAAAAATTAGAAAAATAATAAACAAAATAATTCAATGGAACTTTCCACAGAAAGGTGTAAAGCCCTGATTAATCAAAGTATTTAAAAAAAACATTGAATAAAACATTTAAATAAAATATTTTGATCACATATTAACCTTCTGGGTTTTTCAGTTTTTCTCAAATGAATGTTGAAGGCATGGTTGAAAGTGGAGATAAAAAAAAACTTAAGAAGAAAAAATTCTGCAGGGTGTTCAACATTTGGGGGGGGGGGGGTTCTAAAGAACCAACGGTCTAGAAAAGTCGAACTTGTTTGACTTTTGAAAAAAAAATTGTCAATCATTAAACAGACCTTTTACAGTTTTTTTATCGCATTAAATTACATTCTAAAAAATCAATTTCATTTTAGAGCATGTCAAAACAATTTGAAGATGGTTTGTGGAAGGAACTACAATTGTTTTCTACAGATGCATATCAACCTCCAGCATGGATGGAAACTGAAAATGGTTAGTTATTAGAATTTCTTTTAAAAACTCAATATACTCATATATGCTCTGGTTCTATCGATGAAAAATTAGAAATCTATAAATTCTTTTGAAATCTTCTGTCTAACGTACATTTAGAAGCATTTTTGTGAGGAAAAAATAGTTTTTTTTCCTAAAGGTGAAGTGTATAAACTTAGGTTCAGTGTTTGATGGGACGAATTGTTATTGACTACTAAATGATAATGAATATTTTTCTTTGTAATTTTCTCTGCTTCTGAGGATTTTTTAAACAAAGATAACTATTTGGTACATAATGGCCAATATTTGCCAACAAAAAATAAACATTGACGGAGAAATATGCAATTATGTTCTAAAACAAGGGAATATATGCAGACATCAAAGCATTGAATATCTGTATGAGTCCTGACTTCATATGTTTGATAGGAAAATGTTAGGAAATTGACAAAAAAAATCCATAAATTCTATAGAAAAAAGGTGTTTAATACATCGATATTTTGAGTAAAATCCAATGAGCGCAGAACAATGTTTGATATATAATGTGTACAATGATAATATCAATTACATATGTAAATATTGTTTTGGAGAAGGCCTGCACTCTATGAATTATTTTAATTTTTATGAAAAATTATACAAAATCCGAATACTTTGTGACGTCATGAAAACAATACTGTCAACGCCCCTGGATTTACAATGAATCTGTTTATTCAGATTTCCAAAACAATATATTAAATTCAGAATATTTCAAAATATTTTAAAATATGACATTTTATGGGGTATTTTTAGGGCGGTATTATGCAATACCGTATACCGGTATATATTTCTAAAGTGAATAATTGTAATTGGCAAATGATAATGCCTCCTCCAACTACATAATTTCATAGCTCCTAGGTCAGAGATTCTGGTGTTAGTGTTGATTTCCAAAATTCTTAATTTTCAACATTTAAGGAGGAATGCCATACCAACTTTTTATTTTATAGATCTATGAGTCAACCTTTCTAAACAATGGTTTCAGCATTGAAAGGCCGACATTAGCTCTCAATTATTTTAAATGAATTTTTTTTTGCATTTGTTCAAAGAAAATGAAAAAAATATATTTACATCCAAATAAGATGCATTGTTGTAAAAAAATTGCTGTAAATGAATACATCACATGAATACCTATTAAGATATGTAAAGCGAAGCCGTACAGATATTTAAAATTTTTAAATAAAAAATATTTATTAATTTTGGCTTATCCCGATCAAAATTAAACCGATCCCAACAAAAATTGTACAATCATTGGAAATAAATAGCATTTTCCCAAGAACACTTGTCTTATTAGGTGTAATAAGGGTTAAACAAAATTGAACTTAACAATAAAATAGATTACTTCATTGTAAATACATGAAGAGAAAAAAATAGCATTTTTAGGTCACCTGAGTAACTCAGGTGACCTATTGCTATCCGTTTTCGTCCGTCGTCGTGCGTCGTGTGTTAACATTTGAACATCTTCAGCTTCTTCTCTGGAACCACTGAACCAATTTCAACCAAATTTGGTATACAGCATCTATGGATACAGGGGAACAAAAATTGTGAATTTCATGGTCCCCACCCGCTGGGGCCTGAGGGGTGGGGCCAAAACCACTAAAATTATTGCAATCTTTAAAAATCTTTTTCTTTACTCCTGGACATCAAGCAGGCAAACTGTTGGCATGAATGTAATGAGCATTGAGTCCTCTACCAAAATTGTGAAATTAATGTCCCCAGGATCAGGGGTTCTAGTGCTAGGGCGGGGCTCAATATATTATGTAGTGAAAATGCATTATTTCTTTGAAAATCTTCTTCTCTGCTCCTGGGTATCAAATAAAATAACTAAGCACATAGTTATGATGAGCAAGAGTGCCTCTTCCAGATTTGTGAATTTTATGGCCCCAGGGTTAGGGGTTCTGGTGTTAGGGCGGGGCTCTATATAGATTATATAGTGAAAATGCATTATTTCTTTGAAAATCTTCTTCTCTGCTCCCGGATATTTAATAAACTAACTAAGCAAAAAGTAATGATAAGCAAGAGTGCCTCTTTCAAATTTGAGAATGTTATGGCCCCAGGGTCAGGGTTTCTGGTGTTAGGGCGGGGCTCTATTGATTATATAGTCAAAATGCATTTATTATTTGAAAATCTTCTTCTCTGCTTCTGGGTATTAAATAAACTAACTAAGCACATAGTTATGATGAGCAACAGTGCCTCTTCCAAAATTATGAATTTTATTGCCCCAGGGTCAGGTGTTCTGTTGTTAGGACGGGGCTCTGTTGATTATATAGTAAAAATACATTAAGTCTTTGAAAATATTTTCCTTTGCTACTGGGTTTTGTGCCAATGATCCAAGTATACATACATTTATGATGAAGAAAGGTGCATCTAGCAAAGTGTTTTTTATGCCCCCAGAGTCAGAGGGGGGGGGGGGCTACATAGTCTGAAAATAAATTAATGCTTTGAAATCTGCTCTTTGGTATTAATCAACCATTTTATGACAAAATTTTCATGGCCCATGGATCAGTGGTTCCTTTAGGGTGAGGTACACAACTGGGTATAAAATGGAGGTGCATTTTCTTTTTGTTACTCTGATCTACCTCTGGGTATTAAGTAAATAGAGTAAGCTAAGTTAATAATTATGATAGGCAATGATGCCTCTTTCAAAATTGTAGATTGTGAATTGAATTTCATGGCCTCTGGTTTAAAACACAAACCAAATTTAATTGTTTGAAAGTTGTTACACAATACTCAGGTGACCTATAAGGCCCGTGGGCCTCTTGTTTTCATTTTGTATTAATTTTGATCGGGATCAGTTTAATTTAAATCGGGTTAGGTCCAAATATTAAGAAAATTAATTCTCTAAAATTTCACGATTTCGGTTCAATTTCTTTTTAAAATATGATTGACAAACATGTTGTCCTCAGTTGTGACTAGTTTTACGGTGTTTTTAAACATAGATTTAAAAAATATTCACAAAAATGTGTTTTATTTTCATAAATAATTTTTGATAAAAAACCCAAAAAGTTTTACCAGCGTTAAGTTTCTTTACATATTTTATTAGATATTCATATGATGCATTCATTTACAACAAATTTTTAACTCGAAAACAAATTATTTGAATATAAATAATTTTTGTCACCTTCTTTGAAAAAATACAAAAAAAATCATATAGAATAATTAAGAGCTAATATCAGCCTTTCAATGCTGAAACCATTGTTTAAAAAGGATGACTCGAAGATTTATGAAATAAAAAGTTGGTGTGGCATTCCACCTTAAAACTCTTTTCTTGCTCTTTGGAAGCAATCAAACTAAATATGATACGAAATCGTACTTGTTTTAATATTGTGAATTTCGTGGCCCCTGGATCAGGATTCTAGAGTTAGAATCCGGCTCTTATAAAATACTAATATTTGCATATTTTGATCATAATGTGTGAAAATAATATTAATATTTTCCTTCTCCTCATTAGACCAGAGATTAGATGTGACTACATCAGGTCTGTATGGTTTGATTTTCTACGCGCTGCTCTTCCGAAAATTTTATCTTGGAGCAAAACAGTTGGTTGAGACTGGATGTGTGAGTACAAAATTCTTTTTGCTTTATTTTTTTTAAGTTATAGAATGAATGATTTGATTGAAATCTTATTAGTATCATTAGTATCTTACTTCATTTTCTCACGTAAATACTTATGTGGATTTTATAAAAAAAAAAATGCATAATGTTTTATTAGTTTGAGGTATAGGTTTTAGAAAAATCCAATTTTGAGTCTTATAACTGTAAATCCTTAATACAATAAATTGTTCAATGTTCAATAGAGCTTTATTTTTTTTTTAATTTTTTTTTTGTTTTTGTGTTTTACTTTCAAGGGACATGGGCGCAGTATCCGCTAAGATTTTTTTTTATTTTTCAAAATTAAGGCATTTCTAATTATCAAAAATTTAATTTTTTTTTTGAGATACAAGAACGATTAAAAGTTCCTTATGTAAACAAGGTCCGTGCCTTATTTTTGTCTACAAAAGTCAAATAAACTAATAAGTCGCTCAAAACGGATTTTTAAATTATTTCTGAATACAATTAAACAGTTGTAGTGGGCTGTTGAATTTCCTTTTCTTATGAACATAAAAAAGGAAAAATAGATATTGAAAAATGGGGGGGTCAGTTGAAATCGGTTTCATTTCCATTATCGCTTAAAATCATGGAAAGGGGGAAAATGGCAAATGGAAACTTAAAATATGATGAGAATCGACGTCTTAAGGTTTATCCACCATCACAATTTTTATGATTCTAAGCACAAAAACTGCATTTCTTTTTATTAAATATGGTTTAAATATACTAACTGTTGCAAAAAAAAATGCATACGTCGCCATATTATAATGGGATAGGACTATTATACAAAACAGAAGAGTATATCAAAATAGACAAATTGTACACTTTTTGTTAATATTATGATAAAAATTATGTAAAAGCTGCTTCAAATGCATAATTTTGATGCTGAAAGATCCAATATACTTGCTACTTCTAAATAATTTTGAATTGTGAATACCAGGGAAACTATTTTACATAAGAAGTACAATAAAGGTTATGCCTGAATGAAGATACCCGAAAAGGAGTTATTGCCCTTATCAACATTTTTTAAATAGTGATTAAAAAAGAAATAAACATTTAAAAAAAAAATTTTTAACAATATTTATCTTTACACCTATTGAAAAGCATTCTTGTAAAAAATTATTGTTCTATTTGGCATGAGTTTAAATAAATAACAGTTTTTCCAAAAACTTATGACATCATAGGAGAAAGGAAATTCTTTAAGTCTAGATTCTTAGAAAATATTAAATGGTCATTCAATCATTCTAAACATCTCTAATGGATATAACACACTATTAACATTGTTCATCTTGCAAATAGGAGCACAATAGTTATAAATATAAAAAGATTTTTCAAAACATATTTTCTTTCTTAAAATGACCAAGAGTGTTTTTTTTTTCAAGGTACGCATTCGACATATCTTGGTTGGATGTGTAATTTTACAGCAAGAGAAGAATAATTGGCAAACAAGTCAACTGGAACAAGAACAGATACAGCTTTTGCACAGGTTAGAATTTAGTTATCAAAGAAATTAACATAATATTTGCATCAAATTCATTGTCAATACATTAACAGATTAAACCTTATCTGAGTTACTTAGAATTTTAAATCTATTAAAAAAAGTATAACCACTGCTTTCCAATTTTTAAGAGAACTGCAAATATTAACATATTAAACCCTCATACTTAAAACTTTTAACTTACAAACCACCCCTGCTAAAAAAACTGAATTGTAACACGTCAACATACCATTCATGTATATGTCATAGAAATATGAATTTACCATTTCCCCTTGAGCAAGCTCTTTAGAGTGCAGTACATGTCTCTCTAAAATTTAACATAAATGAGTATGATGTAATTTTTATAAGATGATAACATTTTCTTCTTTTGTAAGATTTTTGCTAGTATATCGTAGAAGAGTATTGACATTAAATTAAAGATGAAATTTAGTTTTGAAAGTGCGTGAAAAATGCTTGATTGTGGGGTAACGGTATATGCGTGATTTTGCATTAGAAATAAGAAATGGTATATGCGTTACATTTAATAACGTGATTGTGGTTGAAGTGGTTATATAATTTTGTTTAATCGAATTTTGCGCGCTTTGATAGTCGTGCGCTTAAACCTAACAGCCGTTGTTGGCATTGGAAAGTTAAATAATGCAAATTTACATTGCGAGGAAAATATCATGCCAAATCAATTTTTAACTAACCAACTATCAGAAACAGAAATAGTTTAACAAAACCGGATTTAAAGATATATAACATGTACATTAATTTTATTTGCGCCCTAAATAAGTTTTTTGCTTATATTCACATATTGTAAAGAAGTCATATAAAGATTCGAAGTAATATAAAGAAAAAAAAAGCGTTTACAATTATGATTATAAGAGAGTAAAAACACTTTCTATGCAAGTTTCTACTCATATCTGTTCTTAGAATGGAAGTTTTTAAGCTTAAATTATTGTAGTTTTCTTAAAAAAACATTTTTATTTTATATATTTTAAACCGTAGTCCCTTATTTTTAATGTAACAAATATTTGAAAAGAATTCAAATTTCTGGTTGGGTAAAATTATAAATAAATTTTACGTTTATATCAAATTTAAGAATCAGAAAAGAAAATATTTTCATTCACCCTCTTCTGCCATAAATATTGTTCCTGCTAGATTTCAAATTAAATTTACCCCATATATTTAAGATCGATCAATCGAGACGATTAAAGAAAACTTGCTCTTTTAAATTTCTAATTTGAATTTCCAAATTTTCAAAGAATATTCCCATTGTTCCGTAATAATGCTAAACTTGACGTCAAAGTATAAATCAAACTGTTTTTTCAACCTCCCTTACTTATGCAGCAATATACCATTATTATCTGCATGTGGAGCATATACATTTCAGTTGATTCGATATGCGAGAGCATGCTCTACGTACGAACAATTTCTAGAACGAGGTAAAATATTGACAAGTAAGTTGATGAGCCTAAAAATATCAGCAGTCTCGTTTTAAGTCATCATTTCGTAAGTTCTATGATCGATACAATGACCTTATCAGCAAATACAATATATCATTGAAATAAATGCTAACTGACGTTTTTCATACTAATTGTTAGTCCATTATTTATACACTGAATTGACGACGGATTTTTGCGTTATTTCCCGGTCACAACTAGGAGCATACAGCGGGGGTGACCGGTCAGCAAGGGATTCTCACTCCTCCATTGCACCTGATCCCACATCTGATGTTTCGGAGGTCCATGTTTACTCTGCTTCTATTTGGACACAGACTACCAATTATTTTGCTATACATTCCTTTATAATATGAAAAATAATTTTAAAAATTACACCGCGCAGTACAGTTAAGGTGCACAATGGAAATATTCACTATATTTTTTTATTTAAAAATGTTTTCGTAATTGAGATAGCGATTGTTTTTAGTACATTATTTATATCGGATAATTGCAATTATGATAAATAACTACATATCGGGCACGACTATATTTTATATTTAGACTAGTCTCGTGATACGGCAGTCCCACGATTTTAGCACATTGACTTGCAGTATTCATGTTACATATAAATATCACTAGTGCACGGGCACAACCAATTAAAATTTCCAAGTTTAGTATATATATTTTTAACACGCATTGTAGTTTCTAAAAGTGCTGCAATTCTGTCTAAATTATGCAATTTCATTGTTAAAATAATATTTGTATGACCGAATGCTATTTTTTTTGGCTGGTCAGCGGCATGAAATATTGATATAATTAAATTGTTTTTAAGATTCATCAGGATCGCAACATTTTCAGATACCTTAATAGTTCTAGAGTTGAATTTTAAAATTTAAGATCCATAGAGTGTATGCCCTTGCACAAGATTGATTTATTAAGACCCCCACATTACTCTCCGATATGCTTTCATACAAGTATACGGCAGTGTCAATAAAATACGTAATGTACAGAAAATATATTAATAAAATAGTGAAGAAGACATAGAATTCAAGTTATTAGCCCATGTAATATCTGTAAATAATATATTTTATTTATTAAGAGAATACATATTTTGTTGAGAAAATATTACTTGATCTGTCTCTCACTGCATTCATTCTACGTCACATTGTAAGAAATTACGTCATCTTGACAAGTGTTTTGCGATCAGTGACTTCTTCATAACTTGTTATGTGGGATTTGACTAACGACAAAACAACACTCTTTAGTAAGTTTTTATGTAATTTGATGATTTCTTACTGGTTTAATTAGCAAGTCAACTCATTTTGTGGTATTTTAAAGAAATCTTGTATGACGTATATTTTGTATGACGTCATAGTCAAGTTTTTCCGTACAAATTAGGCTCCGCGTCCAGATAAATGAGGGTCCACTGTATTCTTGTATAAATACTACTTGGAAAGGACACGTCTTCCCGTAGTGCTGTCAAAAAAGGGGGGAGTAAATGGACTGTGAAACGTATGTGTGGCTCCTTCGGTTGACAGCTACACTGAAATTATATTGATCTTATTTCATAATGTATACTGTATAAATATATTTTTTTAAAATAATTATACTTTAATTTTTTTCTATATAATTTATAACATCCTGTGTGATGTCATAGGGACAACAATATCAGTGTTTAGAAGGAGCTAAGTCAGGACCCCATCCCTGGCAGTTGCCTTATTTTTATAGTAATGTTAGTTTATATGTTGCTTAAATTAGGTCTGGGAAATAAAATTGTTTAAAAAAAAACAAAAAAAAAACTTACCTGAAACTTGGCACAGAGTAAGATTAATTCAAGTCCAAAAAATTTTCAAGCTCTAAGCAACATTCATAGTCTGCAAGTTCTTTTATGGCATCGCAATTAGCCCCTTCCCTGCTTTTTTCACTCTCTCTCTTAGGGGAAAGGGTAAATATTGGCGTCTTTACACACTTCATACTATGCGCTTAAATGCAAAATTTCACAAATCATCAATTTCATATTTTTTTTCAAACCCTCTTATTTCCATCGATGCCCAAAATTAGCATCATTCCACCCCATAAGCACCCCACAGAATTTAAAAAAAAACTTCTATTTTTAAACAGGAACTTTTTGATTGACCAATGAAATAGGGGCAAAATTAGTAGTCTGTAACCATTTTTTTGGTCTTAGATATTGAATACTTTTCGTTATGTTCATATCCTTCTGTAACCTTTTAGAAAATTTCAACCAATTTTGGTACATAGCATGTCATGAATGATAAGTACATGTATCCGATTATTTCCATTCTATATATAATGTTAGTTTTTTTTTAATTTTCACAAGAACATTTTCTCATCATGCACTGCGGATCATGAGCTGTATACATGATGCTGATAATCGGAATAATCTAAAAAAGAATCGAGATGATGGGAGATTTGTGGAATATCTACTTGGAGATCCAATTATCCATTCTGGACGACTCCTTTTAAACCATGGATATCTAAAAGATGCCATCAAAACAGAAAACAACACATTCTTGGAAAATGAAGTTGTAAAAGATGTTTTAAATGGAATGTGGTATGGAAAAGACAGACTGACAATAAGTCGAGTAAGTTTTATAGATGATTGGTATTATACAATGCCGCACAACTTAAATAAAATGGATATAACACATATATAAATATTTGATATTCCATAGCTGGGAACACATAATGTTTTTGAAAATTAAGTTAGAACATCATTAACAGGGATTCAAACAAAAAAAATATGTCTGAAAGTATATACTAGTGCTCTGTTTAAGAAAAGTCCAAATAGTATCTTATACATACATTGTAATTATAGAATTTGTAATGGATAATTTTGTTAATAATGCAGCTACTAGTATATATTTGCGTGTGGTTTTTATCACAGAGATAGAGAGAGAGAGAGAGAGAGAGAGAGAGAGAGAGAGAGAGAGAGAGAGAGAGAGGATATTAATTCAGTTAATGTCAAGTTCATTTTTTTTTATCATCAGGCGATTATGTTTCTTTGCCTGTCTCTTTTCCATTTTGTACTTCTCCCCATTCTGATGATTACAATGGAAAACAAGCCTTTTCAAAAGTAAGTATAGTAATTTATTTTCTCGAAAATTGGATATAAATATTTTCTTTTTCTTTAAAACAGAGATTTGCACGATACCATCTATGTTTTAAAGCCGTAATAATTATAATATACAATGTGTTATATCTCCCAAGTAAATGTATATTTCACATCTCTAATAATTGATTTACAGACTTTATAAACTTTACAACACCCCCTTCATGAAAGTAGCCAATAACTTGGTGAGATGTTTTATTTGATTTTACTCTTTTTTTACAAGACAGAAACTAACTGTTATGCTAGAAAATGAATAATATAATTAAATATTTAACAATATTATATAAATATTAACATGGTAGAATTACTAGTATGAGGAATTACAAGTATTTCAAGAGATATAGAAGACAGTGTTTCATATTCTTTTTTTTTTTGAAAGAATAATCCTAGTAAACATTTTTGAAGATTCTGCAGTCAGTAATAATGAGACGTGTACGCTACATAATACATGTAATCTCATCCTTTAAATATGAAATGGTTTGTTTTGTAAAAGGTTACTTAATGTCATTGTTCTTTCGGGTTATTACCTAAGGTTGGATTGTTTTGTCTCCTTGTGGGTTACGCTTATATGCTACTGTGCAGCCACGAAGAAAACATTTCATATGCTGACCTTTTTCTCATTGTTCTGATGGGAAGTTTCTTAATTGATGAAACCAAGCAGGTATTCTGTTTATGTAACCCCTTAATTTGATACCTTTTTAATGGGTACATAAGTAATTGTGCCTGTAGCTGAATGATCATTCGACCAAACTTATACTTCAAATACGATAAGATATGCAAAATATATAAGCATATTTTACCTAGTTACTGTTTCAAACGAAAACTGTGTAGCAATTTTAACTACAATTGATAATTTTTTTTTAGATTTTCATTGCCATATGGAGAAAGAAATTTAAAGAATACATAAAAAGTCCGTGGAATATACTGGACTGGCTCTCGATGACGATGTTTGCTTGTGGGATGCTACTGAAGTTTGGAAACGGATTGAATTATTACAACGCCTCCAAGATCCTCCTTGTGCTAGCTTTCATCTTTCTAAGCATTCGAGTGTTTAACTTGTTCTGTATTTCTGAGCTTCTTGGGCCAAAACTTGTTATCATACAGAAAATGGTAAATCTTTTAATACGTGTATATATAAAATATATAAAGTATACTTAAAAATAAAAATAAAAGACATTTATTATTAATATCATTTAAAAACTAAATTTAAAAAACTTATAATAGTTGTTTCCAGAGTAAAGATTTTTAGGACATTAATTTGTTTTATCCTATCTTTGAATTTTCAAGGCAAATATTTGATACCAAAAAAGTTTTCAATAAACATCGAATACTCAGATTAACTTAAGTTAATACTTTGCCAAGGAAGGTGTTGAATAAATGAGGATAATATGTTTATGATATATTTCAGTTTATAGACACCTTTTCCTTTATGGCTATTATGACAGTCATCACAATGTGTTACAATGTGTCGTACTACGCTATATTGTATTACGGAAACTCGGATTTCAGCTTTGACACATTGGAAAAAGTAACTCGAAACGGTTATTGGATGCTTTTTGGAGAGTTAAACTTAGATGGAGATAGACGTATGTATTTTGACAAATTAATATCGAAAAAAATAGTATATAAAATATAAAATTGTATGTTAATAAGTTTTCATTTTTATACTTTTATCAGGAGATAAATACTAGTTTGTCATGGGATCAAATCACATAAACCCTTCGAATTTTTTTAGCAAGTTTGATCACATGCAAACCTATATTTGAAAAAAACGTTGTCTAATTACTACTATTTATGTTTATATCTTATTTAAAACAAATTCTTTGATAATATAGTTTTTCAGCCAAGATTTAATTTTTTAAACTTCATACCGTAAAACGAGATCATGTGGTACAATACTTATTTTAGTGTCTTTGGCTTAAGAGCCCCCGAACGCTTAAATTTATAGTGCGCTAACGGATTTGTAATAAATTGTATTTTTTGTACATGTATATATTCAAAACAGAAGTACGAGTATATGTAAACCGGAGAGCAGTATTACTAAATGTCGTAGGGTCGCTGCGTTTTTGTATGCACACTTGCACTAAATGGTTAAATAAAGGTCAATAAAGCTCTACCAAATTATGATGTAATTAAACTATTTTAAGTTGTTATCTGGTACTTATCATAAGCACCTTTAAAGTCGTGTACTTATATACACGGGAGAGCTACTGTGTTTGCGTGCCTAAGTAACCATAAAAGTCAATCACAAGCGTGGATCAAAGATAAAAAAAAATTACTCCTATATATTTCAAAGACAAACCTTAGCGCAAACATTTATTTGCGCAATGCATTTGCACTCAGGTGTGCACTAAATACGTATGCGCCAAATATTATTGTGTTGACGTGTCAATCCCGTATGACGTCAAATTACAATTTTGTCGATTGTTTATGACCAGGTGATTCATTTAGGGTCAAGTGATAAAAATGTGTGCACACAGACTTAGATGTTCATTGCTCAAATGGTGCTATAATAAGAAAAATATTTGCAATTGTAAATATCAAAATGCATTGATTTTATTTAAGACTACGTCATTATATTTTATAATCGAGACATTTTTAAGTCTTATTTTTGAAGTCTCAGGTGCTTATCATTTTTTTTTTACAATCCGTTGTTTTACGAAAATTTGGGTACAGTCCTTGAATTGTTTTCCCATAAGCAACAAATTTTCTACTCATGGCAATGGCGTTAATTTTTGTTCAGCAGTGAGTGACTCCTCAAATCAAAGCACATAAAGTTATCTTTCCTTTGTTAATATCTTGAGTTTATATGTCTGATTCGTTTTCCAGCAAATTGCATTTGTCTTCACGAACCTCATAAAATAAAAGTAACAGTAAGGGAATTCAAAACTTATTACTTGAAAAAGACGTTAATGGTAATCTACTATAATTCTTATTTCATCAACTTCTTTGTCCATAATTTACCTCGTTTTAGAAAATGTTTATTCGTAGATCACGTTCTTGCTTATCAAATCAACTGATATATATATAATCCGCATGCAGGCGAAAAAGGTATATTACTGCCAGTAATGAAAGTTAACAATAGTAAAGTGAAAGTCATTATTTTGATCATAGAGCTTGGTTATTATATCATCATTAACGTATTTTTAAGTTATATATTCTAATGTGAATCAGATGTGTCAGACTTTGTGGTATCTTTTATTTCAAGATCAACAAGATAAATCGTATCGACATAAGAATGTTAATTAAAAAAGCGTCGTCGATACGTGTAAATGCCGAGCCACGGCATGTGTTTTCTTCTTTTTACGCATAAGATTTTGCACAAAATTTGCATGATAATATGAATTTCAAAAATTAAGGGCATTTATTAAAGCACCATTCTTCTAAAATGTTCATTTGATTTTGAGACAGATAAGCTGATATTCAAATTTCTTATATAGTCACAGAACCTGAGTGCTCGTTTGAAAAAGCGATTTATTCAAATGGAACACTGGAGAGATGTCCTTCATCACTTGGGAGATTTTTGGCACCCTATTTAAAGGCATTATACGGATTGGTAGCTGTGATTTTGATGCTAAATCTATTGATTGCCATGTACAGGTTGTTGTTCGTTTATTTGTATACTAGTTTTGCTCTATCATATGTTTTATTTCAAATCTAGATTAATCATTTTACTTCTGTATAAAAGATTTCACAAGCAGACATTTTCAGCTGAATATATACTGCAAAACAAAAAATCTGTTTAAATTGAATGATTTATTGCAACGCCAAATGTTTCTTTTTTCCCCAAGTATCGTTATGAGTAGGCACAATTGCATACATGTAACTGCTACATCTAGCACTTTACTTTACTGTTATTTTACTCTTTCTGGGAAGTTTTTCAATTGTCAATTTTTTTAAACCATAAAAACAGATGTGTTTTTCTGTATGGTATGCGTAAAAACATACTCATTTAAATATACTGTATTTATAATATTTTAATTCAGTAGATATAAATATACGATATCAAATACATGCATATGTACTTGTAAATAGAAATACATGTATGTTGTTTTTATTTCATGTTTTTTTTTTGTATCAAGCAACACATTCTCCGAGGTGCACGTGAAGTCAAAGTTTTATTGGTCACAGCTTCAGACCGACTTTTTGGAGGAATATAGCATCAAGTCAATATTTCCCTTTCATATGCAATGGATAGCCATTGTTTTCTTTATATTCCATCTTGGTTTCTGGGGATTAAAACATGGTTTTGTCAAACTTCGAGAAAGGAAAGCAATGGACGATGACGAGTCTATCATGAACATAAGTTTGTTGGATAGAGCATACAAAGAGGAGGCCGCTGGCAAATTAAACAGTTCTCCTATGTTTGTCAGAGGTACTTTCTAGTTCTAAAAAAGAAAAATAGCACAAACCTCTCAAAAATAAAATAAAATCGTCCTATGTATATTAGCACATAATTTTTTATCAGAATTTTTATGTATATTTTCTAATTAAACTTTAATAAGGAAATGACTTTTAGGATGATATACTTTCAGTGTTTTTATTTAACACAAATTTTGACATCAGACTAAGAAAAACAAGGAAAGTGGAGGGTTATGCTGCTTTACAGGCTAGACGGTAAAATTTACTTTTTGTGTTATTTACTGTTTGTAGTAATTTTTTTTATGAATATGTACATCAACTTTTCATATAAATTTTAAAGAAAAATTGGACACAATTCTAGACGAGACAAAATATTTGAATAAATGAATATTATCAAAATGATTCAATTGTTATTGAAATACGCAAGATAGACTTGTAGAAGTTTAACAGAAATTCTTATTTATCTTTATTTGTTTCAAAGATAAAAAGTATCTATTAAAGATAAGAAAAACTGGTATAATTTACTTAAATGTCGACATATACTTCATTACTATTTACAGAGAGATGGATATAGCAGAAGAGGATAAAATAACGGTTCTCTCTCTCTCTCTCTCTCTCTTTCTATCTCTCTCTCTCTCTCTCTCTCTCTCAGCCAATGCCATTTTACACTCGTCGTTATACAGATGATATAATAAAAAAAGGGATTTGTTTGCCCGACAATGGCCCAGACTTTTCTTACTAAATTGCAGATCTATAGCTCGTTTGTCTGAAAATGTAGTGGCCAAACAAACAGCTTCAGAGTTGCACATTGTTATCAATTTTGAATACGGACCGACCTCGGTACATATATAGTGACTCTTGTTATTTGTTATACTATTAATTATTTAAAACAACTAAAACCAATCTGAAAATTTTTGACATCAAAGAAAAGATTTCATGAATCGTTCACGCGATAAAATTTATTTCAGTGAAGCATTGAAATGTCATTTATTCGCCGTCGTATTGAGTAAGCAAAATGTATGTGTAATTGTTCAAATTTCTTGCCCAAGGGAGAAATTAACAAACTTTAAAAATTGAAGTATTTGCTCACAGGCTTTTAGATTAAATCTGAATAATTTTTATGAATTTACATGAATATTAAGGTCAATTGGAAAACGTTTACATTTATTTTTACGGAATATTTTTTTTCAATGGATGACACTGAGGTTCTCTAGTTGTTCATTCCATTATTTTATACCGGACCAGTGAGTTGCAGATCTGCTGCTATTTCACACTGTGATCATAAACCGGTGCATCTCTCTGGGTTGGAATAGGAGGGGCAGGTGTGCTTGCAACCAAGTAAAAATATACACAGTGACCGGTTTGGAATTTAATGCTTCTTATCATCAATTTGTCTGGACCAAATAATGTCCAAAGTGAAGCTGAATATCGTCAAATCATAACGTTTTTGTACCTTGGAGCAAGTTGTTTAAGCTCAAAATTAAAGTAGGTGATAATCATAGTCCAGTCATTTATAAATTATGTATTTGCAATGGTTCTCCATGTGGTCTCCAGTATACAGTTTTTTTATATACCTCATGTAGTTCTAGATGAGAAAACAATCGTTTTGATTAAATAGTAATTATTTAATAAAAAGTAAAATCGGCATACTTTCTTTACTCATATTACATGTTCATTGTTCAGTGAAAAGAATCATCCTTTTATCAGGTATTGCGAAAAGAAATTAAAACGATGAAAAGAAATATCATGGAAAATAACCAGAAGGTATAATTATCATATTTATTATAAAGTTTTATTAAATGAGTGTTTTTATTTTCCACTGCTTTTCGAACACATGTTAGACCTTCTTTATTTCAAACTCGCTTTTTTTAAAAAGTTGATGGATGAACTCAAAAAGATCTCTCAAAAACTTGCCCAACAAGGTAAGAAATAGTAATGCTTTGCAAGTCATTCATTTACTAAACTTTACAAGGATAACATAATATAAGCGAGGGGAATTTATTAAAAATGAGGTTTCACAATCATTGTCGATAGGAATGTGCAGCTTTCTGAAATAAATACAGTTAACATGGTCAGAGATTTGCCACAAAGCTCTGTACACTTATGTTTCATTTTTTTCAAGAAATAATCTAGACAAATTCAGGGTCTTGTGGAGAATTTGAAAAGGATCTCAAAGTTGCATTAACAAAGCGCTTTTCAAAATTGAAGAGTTTTTATAAAGCGGACCTATAACTTTTATTGGTACATGATGAGGTAGACTTTATTCATGATGTTTATTGACAATCACAGGGGGAAACGGATATTGTCATGGCGTTATCAAGGGTAAAAATTTAAATATAACTTTTTTACCTCGAGGTAATTTTTTTTTATATCTTCTGTCAATTTTTTTTTGTTGAAAATTAACATTTCAAAGAGCTTTCAAATGTAGATATCTTTTAGAATTTAAAATGATTTTTTTTTTTACAAAATACACGTATATTGAAATTTTAGTAAACTTGACATTATAAAACTATCACAAAATCTTACTTTTGTTTAAACGGTTGCAGATATTGAGTTGATTTCTGGGATGTGGGTGCATCTTTATGAGTAACCGATCAAGTTTGCATTTCTTTCCATTTCCCTGTATTTTGGCTTTTTAAATTTTTTTTTAAAATTGTATTCAAGATCTGGTTGAAGGTGCACTAAATTGACGTTCCAAACAAGAGCGGCATGTTAAAAATTATCCATTTGAAAACTTGCAGTTACAGTGTAGGATTGACGTCATGATGACAAACTATAGAACAAGTTTGATATTTTTTTTAACCCTTAATGATTTGTTTGGACCATGCATGTATGTATGCCTAATGGCATTCAAAAACGTGTTCCTTTGTAAGGCAGATTCAGTTAATTTCAAGACATTTCATTCATAGATAAGTTATTACAGACATGTCCACATTTCTGGAGCCGGTCACGGTAAGGGACATGCATTGCTTTTGTATTTGTTAAAAGCAAGATAGAAAATTAAATTATTTATTTGGAAAGATATTGAACTAATTATGTATTACATTTTTAAAAATTCATTTAAAGTCTTTTTACCGATAATTTAACGAAGCCCAGTCTAATTCGAGTGCAATGATTTGCGCAGCATTTAATTTCATGCATTTATAAGTGAGACAGTACATTTTCCCCAAATAGTGTGTTTTTTATATACATTTATTATATCTGTAACACATAATGGTCTAAAAATTTGATTTTATGATAAAAATTAGAAATAAACGCTGAAATGTCTCTTACAATGTCACCGTTTTCCGATTTCATGGATTTTTAAAGGAATGCATGACGATGAAGAATGACACATGACTTGCTTCAATGTTCAGGACTTTCATGGATATTACACTAAAACTGATGACAAAGTATCAAAAGAAACATACTAGCATTCTAAACATTGCTATTTTTTAGTCCCCAAAATTTATCTGCGCCGATAATTCACATGTGTATCTGCAAAGATATGTATTTATACCAAAATATGGCAATTTTAAAGGGATTGGTCATTGTAAAAAAAACCTTGTAATTAGGACCTAGACTGACCTATATGATTATCTTTTTGAGTTTTTACAATTTGGTAAATTTTTACAATAACTTTCATCTGTATGTACTTGACCGAAAAAGATCTATAAGGCAGAAATAAAAAGAATATTTGGACAAATGAGATAATCTACCACTTTTCCATAGGGTCCATTAGTAAAAATTGGCAACTTTTGTCCCCCCCCCCCCCCCTTAAAAACGGAATGGCAAACATTCGATTTTTTAATTTTCAAACAATAGACACATTAGTAAAACTAATTAACGAACAATTATTATAATCCTTAGGGTAGAAATAAATAGACTGGGCCTTGTTATAAAGGGAACTAAGAAGTATATTTTGTAGGATGGAAGTGATCAATGGTACATGTAGTTAGGTTTTGCAATAACTATGGAACAGGAATATTCCTTACTCTAAAATGTTTATTTCAGTCGCATTATCTTAATGATGAAGGGATACCTATTGTCTTTTTCTTTTCGTTGTTGGCTCATTTACATGTATTCAACCACGATAATTAAATAAAACATCAAAATATAATAATATTTTTACATTAAACTATTTTAATTTTACAAAAGATTTATACAAAAAAACTGCATAAATGACATCAAATAAATGACTGCATCAAAAATCATAGGGGATATTAACATGTATTTGCAATATGAAATTGCGTTAATCAAATAAAACATCAAATCATGATAACAATTTTAATACAGATATACTGAAAGGAAAAAGAAACGCAGGGTAAACTTTTGAGGTGAATTAAATTTATTTGTCTTTTAATTTTTTCAGTATTCCTTTCTAACTTTTAAGATCATCTTTCAAAAAGATTTAACCTAAATCCCATTAAATTTTGTCTAATTATTCATGAGTTATAAAAACTCGTATGACAATACACCCCAAAATTGAAAATTGAAAACTCTCATTATCTTAAAAATTTCTCCCGCGCATATGTCAGAGCCTTATTCCTCTTTGCATGGAATTTATCAGAGTGTGTATCATTCAAACCCTGGCTATAATGGGCATGGGTAACAACGCCAAAAAATTAGTCATACAACGCGCTTCAGTCGCCAGTAAGAGGAATACAACAGTAAGTTGACTGGCTCAAAAAATCAAATTGCGGTATTGTTTTCTTTCATTTTTCGTATGAGTGTAATGATTATAATAGTCTACTGTATAAATGGCGGTTTTTGTGGTAGTAATGTGGCGATTTAAGAGATGGCAGGACGAATAAACCGCCCATAACATAATTCTGTTTCGCCTTAACGTCATCGTCACGGTTGATTGAAAACCATCCCAAGCATTCTCTGACAACGGGTAACAAGTTTTATGGGGGAAATTTTTACAAGAAACTGTTTAGTTACCCGTTGTTGTCATTTTCATTAAATAGGCAATTCGAAAACCAGACCCCACATAACTTCCGTAAACTGTACCAAGATTGCAAGAAATTCATATCGTCTCTAAATATTGAAAAAGGACGTGTATACTTCAGGTGCATCAAATGGTGCAACAAGATTTGTTGACAAACAAGCCTTTATCAAATTGCACGTGTTTTGGGGCATTTTAGCGTTTTCCCTTCGTGACGCCATACGGCTTACGATTGAGAAATTCTGAACACTGATTTTGGTGCATAGTAACGGAATTTCTCATCTGACCAATTTTCGTAATTTTCGGTCATGCGGTCAAAACGTTTTCGAAAATTATGCTACCCTGCTTTTCTTTTTCCTTTCAGTATATAAAGATTTATACAAAGAAAACTGTATGAATGACACTCCAGCATCTGCATACAGATCTTATTAAAAAATCATGCAGGATATTTAATGTCAATATGAAACTGCACATATAAATAATTATGTTTTATATGGTGACGACAAGCACAGCTGTTGTTACACGTATAGCAAATAACGTTCATTCGAATTTCGTAAGTTGATAAAAAGAAAGTCAACTGTTACGAATAATGTTTAGTCATGCAATCAAACTGCAAAGATAACTAACACAATATCACGATCTTTTTGCAGAGGAATCACCAAAAAGACGAAGCAGGTTGAGTTCTTCTCGGCAATCAAAGAGCAGCACTTCCTCTAGTTCTGAAGGTAAGATGTGTAAAGAGCAGCACTTCCTCTAGTTCTGAAGGTAAGATGTGTAAAGAGCAGCACTTCCTCTAGTTCTGAAGGTAAGATGTGTAAAAAGCAGCACTTCCTCTAGTTCTGAAGGTAAGATGTGTAAAAAGCAGCACTTCCTCTAGTTCTGAAGGTAAGATGTGTAAAATAATTTATTGTTGATTAAACAATTCATTCATGGTACAAATAATGATATTTACACAGCTTTACTTAGAAGGCTGAACTAATGAATTAAAATGCGTAATCGGTAACTCTAATTATAAATTATAAGTGAACAAAATTGATACCACTACAAGTTTTCGTAGTAAACGCAGTTGATCTAAGATATTCTATGTAAGACTTTATTTCTTCTCTTTGCAGATTCAGATAAGGAAGATTTGAAAATCAAAACCTGATTTTTTTTCATTTCAACAGACTTCAAATTCACAAAACCTTTGATTTTGATGTTTAACAATTAAATACAGCGCTTATCTTTTACTCATACTGTGTTACGCATGTATCTTTTTACTGTTTAATTTTTTGCATATAATGCATACAGATTTTATGTGTAGTTTATAATTATTTAATGCCATCAAAATGTGTAGAAGTAGATCATTTTGAAAACAGATATGTTTTTAATGATAATTATTATATAAATTACAATTGTTTTATGCTATGTAGTAGAGGAAATTAATTTACTAATATTTTTGATGTCTCGTTTAAAGACATTATTTCGTAAGTTATATGTTTGTCCTTTTTTTGTTATTTACATAATTTTTCAAAGTATTACAGTAAAGGTATGTAACTTAAAGCATTTTAAGTCTTTGCATCGGTCAAAAAAGTTCTACAGTGAAGTTTCATGTTAATCAAAGTATCAAAGTACTTCTCCTGTTGATTCCCGATCATGACAAGGAGCACACGGCGGGAGTGACCGATCGGCAGGAGATGCTCATTCCTCCATGGCACCTGACCCCACCTCCGATGTTTTGGAGATCCGTGTTTGCTCTTCTGCTATTTTGTATCTTTATGGACTTTTGATATTGAATACTGTTAGTTATCTCCATGGTTCATTATAGCTAACTATTGTAATTTTTTGTAAGGGGATATTCATTCTGTTATCATTCCAAGGATGAGATGAAGATGATAATATTTTTTGTCAAATAAGTACTTTAAAAGGTATCAGACAGTATTTAGCTTGTAAACCAACAATACTTAACCTTCTTTAATTACAAGATGTACATGTATTTATGGGAATTGCAATATATTTCATGTATTTTACAAAAACCAAAATGTAAATTTATGAACTTTATTATTCATATTCATTGGAGTAATTAACATTGTGAAGGAAACGAATGAAGATCGATTTAATTGTTAAACAATTATAGGATTTTAGTCTTTTGAAAAGATTTGAAAGATTTTATGCCAGCAAGTCTTAATATTATCATTCATTTGTCAGATTTTACATTCAAATAAGCATTTTTACAATAAACACCTTAGTTTCCAGATTGCCATCAATTTTGTTACAGGTAGCAGTCAGCCATTCAAGGGCTATATACATAATGAAATAACGAAATGTAATTATTTCAATTTGAAATTAATACATTCATGTACCATAGAAAGGCATGTCATTCTAATGTAAAAACTAACAAAGTATAATCGTATATAGTGTATACATGGAGTTTTTTTTGCTAGAGATACTAGAAATAACTTTGAAAATGCGGGCAAAAATATTCATCATACAGTTACATATATTGCCATGAGGTGTTATAAATGTATTTTACAGTTAGTAAGCGTAGACTTCAGTAATCGCATTTCTAAATAACCTTGTTAATGTGCAAGACACATAGTGTTGTTTTTGACTTAGCGGGTTTCTATACGCCAAACCGCTAACAGGAAAAGGCAGTGAAATCTAATACGTTTACAATATTCATAATTTCTTTATTTAGAGAACATTTATCAACACCAGAAAATAACAATTAATTATTTATTTTTTTAGTGAGTATATGTTGTGGCAATATTTGTGGGTTGCAAATCTATCTGTGTCATACTCATTTCAGTAAATATTGATGTATCTTCTATAAAAGATGTCAACCTCTGCCACAAAACAATGCAATTCCCAATAGCTCAAAATCTAGACTAAATGAAAACCATAATTTTACGTTAAATATAAATAATACTTAGTTTAAATATCTGTTGGGTTGAGTTGGCCCATAAGGCAAATAGCTGCAAATGAGTCAAAGTTTGCAATCACCTAATAAGGAGCATCAAGTTAACTGACCCACGACAATACTCTATCCTCCAAGTTATTTCCTCCTGGATAGATTGTTCCTAAATTTAGACAAAATATTATAGACCCCCCCTCTGCATTGTGTTAAGAAAAACAGAATCTCCAAGGTCATACAGATAAACACCATTTTTCACAAAAAATGAAATATAGACCGCAGGAGTTTTGGATATTAGAATTAGCACCCTCTAGAACTATTTAAGCGAATCCGAGCTCTTTCCGTTGCTTTATCGTTTTGGGATGATTCTTATTAGATTATGGAAAGGAAGTTAGACCATATACATTTGTCATTTGGAAAAAAATATGTACAAATCCTACAGCTGTGACCTCGCTTACTGAAGTTTACGACATTATTGAATCCTCTTTTGAAGACTTAGCTGTACTTTGATCTTGGTAATCGTTTAAATATTTCGATAAATGGTCAACTTTAATATGATTTTTTCTTAGGGCCCATATTTCTTTTAGGTCTACATTGTTGGTGTTTTATAGTACCGCTGGCACCTGGGTATCGAAAGGGGTTTTGAAAATACATTTTATGATTATATGTAGATAGTCACATACCTGTTTGTTAAAGAATATAATGTTGGTAAATCATTTGTAGTGCGATACCTGCCCAGTTGAGATGAAATGGATAGCGACAGCCTGCGTGCATGAACATAAACTATTTAATGTTTAGAGTCTATACCCGCCCAGTAAATTAATGGGATAACATTTATTCTTATATACTGTCCATTTATTTCAGCATATTTAGAATTGAACATGTTATCTTTGATGCTCTAGGAGACATTTGACGACAACAAACTTTTGACAGAATCAATCATGTGTGGTGTCTCAAGCACCACATTGCCACACAAACTACCTGATGTTTCTAAGTACAAGTTATTCCACCATCTTAATTCTTTGTTGTAAATTTTGTGGTTCTGTAGCTAGCAGGGGTAACTCTCTAGGATTTTCCTCACTAGCTGCAACAGGATCCCTGGCTATGCTTTTTCTTTGTGAAGTGCCTCTTTCTAATGTTTGTAAAGTAACTGAATCATCTTCACCAGATATCATCCCACTGGATCATGCAGCATAGAAACTTACTAGGCAATATATAATAAATTTAAGAATTATTATATCTTGTTTTCTTTGCTATGGGTTTTGCCATCAATTTTATAAACTCGTGAGCTAAATATGGGAGGAAATTAATCATAACTTTTTTTGATATTCTTAATGATAAATTACAAAATCAGTGAATTGTATACATCTTAGGAGCAAGCTATTTTAGTGCGCTTCCATGTTCTTATGCACTAAATGACAATCCAAAAACAGCGTGTGTTTAAACATAAAATTATTTTTCATAAATGAAATGTATACAATAACAATATCAATCATAATTTACATTTTTACTAGGGATGTTAATAGCATGACAAAGCGAGTGTGAGGCAGGCGTTTATTTAACATTAAGTATTTTAAGAAAAAATCATCTCATTTACATGTCCAGGAAGTAATATGACTGCATTGATTATTGTCTGTTGAACCGTGAACGTTAAATTGAGGAAGTGCAGTATAACCACAAAGGTACCACTCCCTATATAAGTATACATACCTACAAAGGAAATAGTCCTAACATAAAGAGGTAAAATAATTGTGCAAAAAGTCTTTTCAACTCAGGTTTGAAAATAAGTAAACATACTGTATATCTAAAGATTGCTTACCCTCTATTAAAATAGACAACAGTAAGTTTATTTTTGTATAAAAGTCTTCAAAAGAAGTCGATAAAATTCTGGTACATGATCGCGATTTCTCAAAGAGCGATATATGGTAAGTGTCTCAATTGGCCCCTTAAAATGAATATATTAATTTTACTTTATATTAAGCTTTAATTTGTACAGCTATATATGCAACCTTTATTGGTCATTTTCATTTTGATCAAAATGCCATAGTTCTAGAAATATGACATAATAAAAATCACGTTTTCCCGCCATTTTAGCATATTTTGTATAAAACTGCGTATTTTCAAGCAGTTTTTCTTCCAGAAAATATAAAGCGCATATTTATATTTTTACCAAAGATGTATCTATCCAATACTAATTAGTGACAGAAAAATTATGCATGTTCTACACTGCGCTCTATGTTTCCCATAAGAAAAAAAAGCATCAAGAAAAAGGCATAATTTTGGCTTTTTTGTTAGATAGCAAGAAAATAGCATTATTTCTCATGTCATTTACAGCTAGTGATTGCATATAGATGTGAAAAATATAATGGAAATATTTCTAATATAATCTCTTCTACAAAATAAATATCAATGAAACATATCTGAATGTCATTCTAAAATGTTGATTTTTAGGGGGCCAAAATTGGCTCTTATCATATATACTACTTTAAGATCACGCTATAAGAAAAAAAAATAGCATGATAAGGCACAGTAATAATGCTTATTATCCATTTAAAACAACACAAATCAGAAGCAAAGCAATCATGGACTTTTGAAGTCATCAGAGGTGGGATCAGGAGCCATTAAGGAGCCAGCATCTTCCTTTGATATGTCATACCCGCCGTGTGATCCCTGTTCATCAGAGGAGCAAACTCTTGCATATGGTAAAATTATAGACATAAACCCTATATAAATGTGCCACTGAAATAAGGGAAATTGACGTTAGAAAAGTAAAAGTCATCATTCATCATAAAGTGTATTAATATACTTCCTAGTATATTATCTAAATATAAAACATATGTGTCACACTCTATATCAGTATTCAAACCTCAGTCGGAAATATCGAGTTGACATAAGAATTAATGGAAGTACCGATTTTTAATAATAAATAAATCTTAATTCGATATACATGCTATTTGAAGGTTTGATTACTTATTATTTGAAAAAATTTCCCATGATTTGCTGAATAATTCACTGTTAAAAACTTAACACTCAATTCTTACAAAAATATCACCACCATTAAACATATCAAAAATACTTTTTCTTACAAAAAGGGGTTTGCAGACCCAAATAGTTGTTAATCTAATGTCGATTTGTCTTTGACCCTATCTTCCAATTATCTAATAGAACGATCTCGAAAAAGAAAATGAAAAATATACGAGTACACGTATGTACAGTACATAAACATAAATATTACTTCTCAATCGTTGATACTATAATGATAATAATGTAATCAAGGAACGGCGTGAAATGCAGAATTGACAAGAAGCTATTGCTGAATTAAATGGAAAAAAAAACTTTATCACATAGCAGTATTATTTTTAACTATACATAATCGTTACTGTATAAAGATGAATAGAATTTTTTTTATCTGTAAGATGAATGATATATTGCAGAAGGATTATTAAAAAAAGGTACTGTAAGTTGTAGGCAAATAACAACCACTTTGTGGTGTCATTTTTATTGGGCTTGCGATAAAAATAAAAAAAAATGTGCAGACATTAGATTGCATTGGGTATGACGTTTTGTAATTGTAGTTAAGATGATCCGTATTTTATTACAGTGACATGTAGGTATACGGGAGAAGGAAGTTATTAAATGTATACAATCCTCCTAACATTTAACTATGGAGAACGATACAGATTACCAGTTGATGCTACTGGAACGATATTCCGATATTTCTTTGAGTAGCTCAATACTTATTCTAATTGGTGCTGCCGTAGGGATCATAGGAAACAGTACCATCATCGTTTTCTACTTTTTCCGCATCAAAGAGAGAGGGGAGCGTTACTTTATTCCGTTATTGGCCATTGTTGATCTTGTTGCGTGTTTTACAAGTCCCCCTTTCTACATCATGGACAACACCTTCTTTTACAATTACCCAAGTGATGCTGCTTGTCGATTTCTCTCGTTTCTGCAGATGTGTGTCCCTGGAGTGTCAGCCCATATACTTCTTGTAATATCTATACAAAGGTACCTTTTGGTATGTAAACCATTCGGCCCCAAAATGACGTTAGCTTGGAAAAGAGTTTTCTTTGGAATAGCGTGTGGTTTTGCCTTGGCATATTCCGTCCCGTTGTTTGGAACATCAGGGGTTCTAAAGACTGTTGACAAGTTCATGAATCATAACGTTACGACAGAGATATGTAAATTTTCTGTTGACACTTCACCAGTAATTACTGTGTATTTTGGACTTTTGGCGCTTATTATGGTGGCAAACATCGGAATAACGGCTGGACTATATGTACCTGTTCTGAGACAGGTTAAGCTTTCTTTTCGGCGAAAAATAAAAATGACAAGCATTCAAAATGAAAGTAATTGTGCTTCTCATACGGAGTCTTCACATACTACGCAGTCAACTGAAATGGAACTTGACAAAGACCAATATGGGAAAGATAACACAGAGTTACAAGAGGTTCATGTATCAACGAAAGAAAACTATTCAAACATTCATGAAGACATTGGGAAAACCTCCAAAGTGGCATCCAATGAAATTAGTGAGGATGAAATGAAAGTTCAAAATCCAAATGGAACAGGTACAGTGGAAAGCAAAAATACGCGCCGAAAAGATGGATCCGTGCAGCGCAGAATCACAATCATGTTTCTTGTCATAATAATTGCTTATGTTTTGTCTTATATTCCACCGCTTGTAATTTTGATTTTGTCATATGCTATCGATGATTTTAATTTCATCACTCTGTCGGAATCGGCCACAATAGCCTGGCTTTATCTGGCACGGTTCGTTTTTCTGAATCATATCGTTAATCCCTTTATCTACGGCTACTTTGATACAAAATTTAGGGATCAATTACACATTTGTTTTATGAAATGCAAAAGAAAATTCATTTCTTAATAACTGATTTTAAACTCACATAAAGGATTGACACATCTGGATATGAAAAAAATATTTTGGAGCATTTGGGCGATGAACAATTAAATATCTTTCGAATTAAGAAAATCTTATTTATATTGTATTCTTCATGAGCTATATTTGAATATATTTAATTTGTAAATATTCTAAATAAGGTTGTATATACATTTCAAACATCTTATGGATTCAAGTGTATCTTTTTATATGCCTCCAAGATTGTCTAAGTATATTTTACTACATTTTACTAAATTGTTAATAGTTAAGTCTCATATTTATTACTAAAGTATTTAAACACTTGGTTTTAAGCAGAAAATGTTTGAAAACAGCACATGCCTCCTAACTGGATGAAAATGTATCATCCAATTAATCATTTAGCAAGCTCATTGCTCACAATACCTCTAGTTTTCTCTACGACTTGTATAAAAAGTCGTTCATAATGACATAATCCCAAACAACAAATTACCTTTTTTTAGATTCTCTTAATGTTTATTTTCTAAGTTTTAAGGTTAATTTTTAAGTAACTTGTTCTTCCTGTATACGAAACTATGACTGGGTTAATATATAGTAAAATAAAGTACGTGTAGGTATTACTTAAACAATGACAAAGCGTTTTCATATTTGTATTATTTATGAAAAATGTTTTGGAAGAAGAAACAAGATATTTAAAGCAAGATATAATAGTATTCATCATGCAAGCATGATGATCTGTTTATTCAATTTATTACACCATCGCTTAAAAAGTAGGAAGGTATATAGTGATGGGGATGTCCGTCCGTCTATACATCCGTTCGTCTGTTTGTTACGCTTTAGGGAACCCATCCTTACATGCAAATCCTTTATTAACAATAAATGAAATCTGATGACAATTTCACAGAATCTTTCTTACATAGAGTCATCGTGCACCTCCTATTTTACTTTTTTATCTGTGAATTATTTGAATTCATGTACATATTTAAGTAAACTTTTATATGACTTATTATCTCTAAACCATAGATTCATATCAACTTGAAATTTATCTCAATAAATTTCGACTAACGATAAACAAAAAATATCATCTTAATATTTCTAATATTTCGTGAATGCCTGCTAGGCCTGCTAAAGCATGAAATACATGAATAAAATATATAATATGAAATGAAATACATGTATGTGGATAAAACGAACAGCATTCAAACTCAAAAGTTCACGAAACATTACAAAACAGGAGCAGAGCAAGCAAGGACCTTCAAAACATTACAAAACAGGAGCAGAACAAGCAAGGACCTTCAAAACATTACAAAACAGGAGCAGAGCAAGCAAGGACCTTCAAAACATTACAAAACAGGAGCAGAACAAGCAAGGACCTTCAAAACATTACAAAACAGGAGCAGAACAAGCAAGGACCTTCAAAACATTAGACGTGGGATCAAGTGCCTTGGAGAAGTGATCATTCCCTGCCGACCGGTCACACCTGACGTGTGCTCCTTGTCATGATCGGGAAATAAGGGGAAAAAATTCTTGGACAACTGAGTGTATATACAATGGCCTAAAAATCAGTATGAAATAAAGTTAGACAGCATTTGTTCTGATTCCAAAAATTACAAAATAATTGTCCTACAAATTATTTTTTTTTTTTTACAAATGTGTTACAAACATATTTGAATTGCGAACGTCAGAGGTAATATGCAGTTTATATTAAACTTTAAATATAAAGAGCACATGTTCGGAGTCATCCTTTTGTTTCATATAAGAATGTTTTCTTGATTTTTTAAGATGGGAGAAAATTAAAATTAAATTATATTACAAACGAGATGACTTCAACTTCTCCGTCATCACCTTTCCTTATTCATGCAGTTATATTCAGCTATCACCCGCATGCATGGTGTTTACATTTCCCATCTTATTATTATTACAGTAACCTCTCATTGGGTCATATTTTGTCTGAATCGGTTCATACCGTTAGTGTAACCATTGTTTTTATGCAGCAAATGACAGGTGTATAGTTCATCTACTTGATGAAAAAAGGCCCATGGCGGGTGTGACGGGTCACCAGGGGATAAGTACTCCTCCATTGCATCTGAACCACATTCTTATGTTTTAGAGGCCCGTTTTTGTCCTGCTTTTAAATTTTTTAAATGTACTTTTAAGTTTATATTGTTCGTTACTTAGACATTTAGACATTTAATTTACAAAGTAACAAAGATGTGGTACAATAATGTAGCCGTGCACACAATTAATAAGATACCTCCCTGATTACATCTTGTGTGGAAATTTTCACATTTGTATGTATTCGGATGTACATTTGCAGGGATAGAATCTCTTAGACTAATATACATGTACTAAATTTACTAGAAATCTTGATTGTCGATAAACTGTGGTTTCTCAATGATAATTGTATTCTATCTACAAACTCAGTTCCATTAATAATTGGATAGTAAATATAGGTTAATAAGTAATTATAAAAGGAAGACATGTTGACAGACGAAAATTGAGTGTGGTCGGTACGTAGTCAGTAGATGCTTTTTGCTCTACGGCATCTGGTGTTTGGAGGGCCGTGTTTGTTTTACTCCTACTTTGTGTTGCTAAATAAACTTTTCATCTTTAATACTGTTCGTTATTTATATGTACATGAATTTCATTGAGCGGAAATTGATTTTTCAAGAAGTCACCTTTGACTTGATTAAACTCATTTCTAAAAATACTTATTTATGGATAAATGTGCAAGACATCTAGTGTTGTTCTTGAATTCGCGGAAGTTTTTATCCGCGAAAACTGCTAAAAAGATTAGCGAGTATATGTCGTGGCAATATTAGTGAGTTGCAAATCAGATCAACACAACATTGGCAGACACACTACAGCAGCAGCAACAATTCAATCATCTATCTCTGCCATACTCATTTCCGTACATATTGCAGTTACTTTTATAGAAGTTGTCAAACTCTATCACAAAGCAATACAGTTCCCATCAGCTTAAAATTTAGACTTAATGTTATCCATCATTTTGCTTATTTAACTTAATAATACATGTATTTTGTTTAAATATCAGATATGTTAAAATCCTCTTTTAAAAACTTGGCTGTACTTTGATCTTGGTAATCGTTTAAATATTTCGATAAATGGGTAACTTTATTATGATTTTTCCCGCCCAGGAAATTAATGGGATAACATTTCGTCTTAATCTGGACTGTTCATCATACATTTTCCATCCCATACACATCCCTCTTGAAGCCCCTAACCTAATGTTGTGCATAAATTTAAAATTACCCTGCATTTATCCTAATAGGCTGAAGCAAAAATACTAATATAAATCAAGGAAAAAATCTATTTTTCGATCTCGTTAATATTAATTTTAGCTTTTGATGTAATTTGGCAACAGGAATTTCTTTTTCATTGAAGAAATTTTCCTCTCTTCTAAGATTATTCAGTAATATATGTACTGTACATTTATATCAACATAATTATTTAGAATAAAACATGTTATCTTTGATGCTCTGGGAGACTTTGGATGACAACAAACTGTTGACAGAATCAATCATGTGTGGTGTCTTAAACACAACATTGCCACAGAGACTACTTGATCTTTCTGAGGTACAAGTTATTCCATCCTCCTAATTCTTTGTTGTGTATTTTGTGGTTCTGCAGCAACCAGGGGTAACTCTCTAGGATTTTTCTTACTAGCTGCAGCAGGGTCCATGGCTATGCATTTTCTTTGTGAAGTGTCTCTTTCCAATGTTTGTGAAGTAACTAAATCATCTTCACCAGATACCATCCCACTGGATCATGCAGCATAGAGCCTTGCTATGTAATATATAATAAATCTAAGAATATTATATCTTGCTATCTTTGCTTTGAGTTTTGCCCTTCAATTTTATAAAACTCGTGAGCTAAATATTGCAGTTAAATTAATCAAGATAACTTTTTCTATATTCTGAATGACAAATTACAAAATCAGTCAATTTTATACGCCTTAGGAGCAAGCTATATTAGCATGCTTCCATGTTCTTATGCACCAGATAACAATCCAAGACCATTGTGTGCTTAAACGTCAAATTATTTCTCCTAAATAAAATGTATACAATTGCAATATCAATCAAAATATACATTTTTACTAGGGATGTCAATAGCATGACAAAGCGAGTGCTCATTTTGACACAGGCGTTTAGTTAACATTAATAAGTTTTTAAAAAAAAAATCCCTAAAATCATTTCATTTACATGTCCAGGAAATAGTATGACTGCATTAATAATTGTCTGTTGAACTGTGAACGTTAAATTGAGGAAGTATAGCATAACCACTCCCTATATAAATATATCCATGCAAAGGAAATAGTCCTTACGTAAAGACGCTGAGAATAAGGTCAAATTATCTTTTTAACTCAGGCTTAAAATGAGAAAACATATACCTTAAAATTGCTTACCCGAAATTAAAGTAAACAATAGTGAGCTAATTATGTTTTTAAAGTTTTAAAGAGAAGTAGGCGAAATTAAAATTGATCATCATTTTCTAACTTTAAGATCACGATACTTAAAAAATTAGGAGATAAGGAACAATAATAATGCTTATAATCCATTTAAAACAACACCTATCGGAAGCAGAGCAATCAGGAACTTTTGAAGCCATCAGAGGTGGGATCAGGAGCCATTAAGGAGCCAGCATCTCCAGTTGATCTGCCATACCCGCCGTGTGATCCTTGTTCATCAGAGGAGCAACCTCTTGCATTATGTTAAATTATAGACATAAACCCTAGATGCATGTGTTACTCAAATAAGAGAAGCTGACGTTAGAATAGTAAAAGTCATTATTCATCATAAAGGTTTGTTTTAATATAAGGATATGGAGATAACGAACAGTATTCAATCTCAAAATCCATAAAACACGAGCATTCACGGACCCCCGAAACATCAGAGGTGGGATCAGGTGCCATGGAGGAGTTAGCATCCCCTGCCGACCGGTCACAACCGCCGTGTGTTCCTTGTCATGATCAGGAAATAACGGAAAATATCCTTCCTAGTAGTTTATCCAAATATAAAACAGATGTGTCGTACTCTATATCGGTATTCAAACCTCAATCGGAAATATCGAGTCGACATAAGGATCAGAGTACCGATTTTTAATAACAGATAAATCTTAAATTCGATATGCATGCTTTTTGAAATTTTTTTTTTACTAATTATTTGACAAATCTTCCCACGATCTGCTGAATGATTCACTGTTAAAAACTTTAACACACATTTATTATAAA